AATAACGCATAATAATGTTGTTGCCGTCGTCGCCGCCCGTGAAACGCTTGGCGTGGGCGTGGACACTAGGCGCGAAAAGTCAAAGAACTCGACGCGCGCCTGTGTTGTTTTTTCGCTTCGGCCTCTAAAAATAGTGCACCGCCCGCTTCGGGACCGATTCGCGTTTGCGCGCTCGTCGGGTCGTCCGTCCGGATCCGCGCATACACGTGGTGCGGCGTCCCGGGCGCGCCCGCCGAGCGCGGGCCCAGCCGCGACGCCTGTGACCCCGCCGCCGCTTACATTTTGTTATTGTTATTTTTAAAGCCACGGCGGCGCGGCGTCCCTTCCCGTCCGCGCAATTTCCGCATCTCTCCGTTTCGTTCGTTGCCCGCACCGCGTTTGTTTTTCGACTATTAATAGTGCGTCATACCGAGTACTCCCTTCTCCCCATCTCCCCACACACCCAACGGACACCAATTATTATTATTATTACTCGTACATCAGTCGCTAAGGTCGCGGCGATCCGGGTAGAAAAAGAAAACGGGGCTTTGAAAAGTTCAACGAGCCGGGTGTCGGTAAATTCGATGCCAAACCCGTGTTCTCGAATATTTTGTGCTTATTAATTTGGTCTTTGTATTGAACCGATCATATTTATTTGAAACCAGAAACTATGTATAAGGGACGCAACTATAGCTGATGTAAAAAGGTCAAGTAGGTCGTGATCCGTTCTGAACCTTTTTTCGTCAGGACATGGCTCAGGTAGGTACTGAGGTAGTATGCATACTAATAGTATAGTATGCAACCGAGCCATTGCACGGTGTTTCAAGTTTGAAATCGAGTTGTGTGTATATTGATAGAGATTTAGTAATAATTGTCTAAATCAGCTTGAGGATAGGTTGGTGTTCTCTGTAAAACATACGGGTGGTTGAGACGGATTTGAATATTTATTTTGGAAGATACCACGGACCCTGTGCAATTACGAGTTTCATTTGCTGTACATACGGTTATTGTAAAAAAATGTAGGTTTTTTCATTTGAGGTATCATAAAACAATAGCCTTCGATTATTATAAACTACATTGTATATTACCTCTAAATGTGGGCGGTATGGATATTTTAATTCATTCCCATCATATTACATGTACCCAAATTGTAGAAAGTTGTTATTTTTAGAATTTTTATTATCACGGATGTAAGTGAAGTAGCATTTTGTATACATCATAAATGTGCGAATATCCGTGCAGGCCGTTTGTAGCGCCAGAACTAATAATTTCAAAGTACTTTAAACGAGGCAAAACATGAAGGTATAGTCATTGAATAAAAATACACTATGGATATCAACAAGGCTGGGTGGGTTGCATGAAAATTTATAAATTTAACGGTTCGTTAAAAAACTAGTGGGACTCACATTCAACAACGGTTGCCATTGGATGTACTTGTTATAAACTCTTAAACTAGAAGCAATAATGCGGGGTATCTGTAGGCCGTGCATTATAAATTAATAATTATACACAATACATTAATGGCACCCGGTATATTGTTCCCTTGTTCGACATTGTGTACAAATTTGAGCGCTTCAACCGAAAATCATAAAAGTGACATTTCGATTGTACTGTCAAACCGAGCGCCGACGTTTCAGTTAACAGAAAGTTTCAGAAACAATTAACAAATGTTTAAATGTTTGTGAACTTATTAGTAGTTGCGGTTTCGAGCTGGTCATTGATATCGCGACCTAAGATTCTTCGCGTTCGTTGTACCATTTTTTTCTCCTATCAACAATAATTGATTGACCATTCTGCGACCGCTCAAAATTTTGAGATTACAACAGGTCCAAGATAAACTTCTTGGCGTGGTCCACATATTTTTTTCCTAACCGATCGATTTCTTTCGGGAAAAATTATACGAACTCGTATAAATTATAACACGTCGGATTGTCCTCGGGGCGATCAATGCTATATGGTTGAGATTATCCAATAAACCCGTATTGTTGGCGTTTCATTATGTTATCTTACCGGATTAGTAGATTTTTCAGAAATATGTGTAACCGAAATAACGATTAACACACTGTAGCCGACCGCAATAGCAGTTATCGGTTCGTTGTTTGTGCGATTATCAATATATTATCAATTATCGATTATCTCTTGTTATATATTATTATAAGGCGGTCGTCGCGTTACATAATGGGGACTTCAACGAAACCCTCTGTCTGTTCGGGAACCTAAATATGTTTTCAAACGAGTACGACACTACTGCATTTTCCTAGTCTACGTGCGCGAATCATTATAATTTATGGGCAATATAGCGTAGGATGCAATTAAAAATATTAATTAACAATTGCTCTCAGATATGTTATGATTGTGAAAAGTCTCTCTGATAATGAACAAGTTTTATCGACACGGCCTGCGTATCACTTTAATGTCGAACCTGACCAAAATACACAGCTCTCTCTCCGTATGATCACGGGTCGGCAAAAATAGTCGCTATTAACAGCTATATAACGACCGGGGTGGGCACAAGGGTTGGAAAACGACGAGCTTGTCCCTGTTGCGGTGTTCGCGTTCTTAAAAACTTAACGACCGAAACGTGACTGGTGTAAAACCGGTGTTGGATTTAACATTTTAAGCACTGAAAAAGGAGCGGTGTTTGTCAACACTACACGTTCATTACTTTGAACAAGTGTGGAAGGAAAATATTCAGCACTGTATTATTATTATGTCTATAAAAGGATATTGTTCCGGCTAAAACAAGAGCAAATCCAATAGGCGTCGGTGTGCGAGAAAACATATTTTACCCAACCACTCAACTTGACACGAGCACGAGGCCAAAAAGAATTTTCAAAACTCTTATATCAACTAAATCAAATTAAGTAAACATATTGTGTTAAGTATCAATACAAATCTATGTTTAGACAATAGTCGTTGTGTTTTGTCGAAACATTATGATCTGTTTTGGCTATGTTTTCGAGTTAAGTTAAAAGCGTGTCGTGCTTGAAAGTAATGTTATACTTACTAAGGTATTTTACACGGTTCTGAAGGAGAGCTGTGAATTCGACCTTAAAATACCCAGAGTAAAATTTACCCAGGGCGAGTGTAACATTCGGACTCGACCTCACTCAATGTGCTTCCGATGCTTTTATCGCAGTTGGTCGGAATTGCAACGGCCGGGCACTCGCTGATTGCAGTTTGCACGATTACCGTTGTCCGGGTATCTCCGGGTTATTTCGATAGGCCCACAAAAAAGCACACGAGAATGATATCCGTCTGCAGCAACAGCAATAACAATAATAATACTTATGTTATATTTAGTACGAAAACCCGTTATTGGCAACAGCAAACTGGTCGACGAGCGAAATCGGCTGTGCTAACACTCCTGAGAAATCCGCTGCAACACTGATATAGCTTGTCGTTAATAACATGTACAACAAGTAACTTGTTAAAACACAGCGGTTATATTAGGTTCGCGCGAAAAAGTAATAATATCACAACCATCAATAATTGTGGCAACTACCAGAGAAGTACAAAGCGTTAAAATTTATAATTTGAATTACTAAAAAATAAGTACACAACATCGAAATGAATATTATTTATTTCTAAAATATACATCAATGTTATTTTTTTCCAATTTTATTGACTTAGCCGAGCATTATATCAATATGGTTTTTATCGTAGAACGAACACCGTTAACTCCTCTCCTTGCCGCATTTCACATTCACCTTGTCTGTTGTTAATCGCTTTATACCATTATTATTATGTATATTGAACGTTGTAACGTTTTTAAACCGCCTCAACCTTGAACTTGACATGCTCGTGAATCCTAGCTTCGCTCTTCGTTTACAAAATAACTATTTCGAGATGGACCCGTTTAAAACGTTTGAAATAAATTATGTTTGTATACGACTTTTTATGAAAATGATAATCGTATTCGGTACTTAGCTAATAAATGCCGTGACAACCAATGTTTGTTTTGTAACTTTGGGAAAATACTTTTCTCCACTTTCCGTGCCCTATCTCAAATATATTTTTGCACATAGTTACACCAGAGCCGCGCAAATGCCATTAAAACATTGTAAACGCCCAACATTATTGACCAATTGCTGATTGCAACAAATTTTGTGTGCAAACTCGGATGTAATAAACTAAATTTGTAAAGCGCGTTGCGTCTGGCCGGGACTCGTTGTTTTTTTCCCAAAAAAACTGAAAACAAGCGGATATACTCCGCTAAGAAAATAAAAACACAAAAAAACGCGTTGCTCGTGCGGTTTTGAAAAAATTTACTATTTTTTTACATATTTGTTTTCCCCCCTCGGCTTCACTCCAGTTTCAATATTGTTATCGCGTCTCGCCCGGCGTGGCGGGAGAACGGGAACAGAGCGAAATACAAAAAAAAAATAATAATATAATAATAATACATTATAGACAATGAAAAAACTTAGTACACACACGGAAAGCCATAAAAAACAGGATACTCAAACATACATGCACATGCACATGCGGGGACGTGCGTAAAACGCGTACGCGCGGTGTGTACGGGACTTAATTTTTTCGGGAGTAGGAGTAAAGCGGGCGGGAGAGTGAGAGAATGCGTGAGAGTGATGAGAGAGAGAGAGAGAGAGAGAGAGATGGACAGATAACACGACGTATGGTGAATATACATACATACGTATAATATCTATATACGTAAGAGCCCATTACTGAATATTATGCGGACCTATTCGGCGCGGCGGCGGCGGCGTCGGTGGGGACGAGGAGGAGGAAAAAAAGTGCGTGAGCGGTGCGTGTGTGCCGACCAACCCGTTTTTTTTTTTTTTGGAGAGAGCGAGACGAGGGCGGACGTTCGCGGTGGGAGTGAAAGAAAGAGAGAGAGTGCGTGTGCGACGACCGAGTGCAGCAATATAACGTTATACTGTACGGCGCGCGCGTCGAGCCGACCAGACCGGCAGATACACACACACTCGCTTGCTCACTCGCACCGACTGTATTTTCATTATAGTTGCATTATTCGGGCGCACCCTGTCGCCGGCGTTACAACTATCACAGTCGCACCACACCGCTGCAGCCGAGTCGCGCACACGCACGTCGCACACTCAACCGCACCGACGTCTCGTCACAGTCGGCCCGGAGTCGAAAACACGAGACGAGTTGTTGCGCGCCATTATCTCTTCATCGTCGTAATATCACCATCGTTTCGGCTTTCGGATTTATAAAAAAAAAAAAAAAAAAATTGTTTTTTTCCATAGTATATTTTTGTTTATTTATTATTGCCTATATATATATATTTATATATACTCGTAGTTTAATTATTATTGTTCGTTTCGTCCGCACCGAAGACGAGAGACGTTACTAAAGTTCCGTTTTGTTATTAATATTTTGTTGATTAAATTTTTTTAAAAATTTTTATCGCGTTTCGCCAATTATTTATCTACCGAGATCGCGTGACGTCATTGCCCAAAAGTGCGAACCGACTTGACCGATTTGGCCGCCGTCTGCGATCCGGTTCACCTGGAAATGCATCACTCCGGTATGTATATTATTATTGTTATTGTTATTGTTATTATGATCAAATTTATTTTAATATTGAAAAGTACGGGGGAAAAGTAAGTAATGCGCGATTTTCAACAATTATTAATTTTCGTCTTTAATATTTTTTTCTTGACACTGCGTTTAAGACATCCGAAACTAACAAGGTAATCTTGTCCTCTAAATGATTCCATTACATCTCAAATAATATTTTCTCTTGGAAAATGTGCACATTTATTATATCTCTCGTACTTTTTAATTGTTATTTTTTTAAGTTTAATTTATTTATTATTACCACCGTCCAAAGGATGTTGGGTTAGTACCTGTACGTAGGTATAGGTGTACTGGATTTAGGGCTTTCATTACGATCATATTATATTTTATACTCTATATAAATCGGTAAACCTCTTGTAAAATCCGTACATCGTCGATTAGATAAAAGTATAAACACTATCCGTTATTTGGTATTATTGTTTGGTGTACTGGTTGGCGAACTGCGGCGTTTTATCGCTTTGCGCAATACTACATTAGTCTGTGCCGCCGTTTAACAATATCACTATTACCATCATCATCATCATCATCGCCGTCGATAGAGCTATAGTATTAACTAATTTCCAATGCGGGCGCGTTCGACCAAAATCGCTTCCATTGTACTTAAATTATGGACGAATATTGCTACCGACGTCTGCGCGGTATTCACAAACGCGTTGCGGGGTGAGCGCGTGTGAATCGTGTGTTCTTCTGTTCGGGCGAAATTAAATATTCGCCTGTATGCAAATTTAAACCGGTTAACCCCTTAACGCGCCGCTTTTGTACCCTATACGGGACACACGGACATTTCGCTCCCATGTCCCGTATGAGAACGGCCGTTTTTTTTTGCTTCTTATTAGCCAGCAGATGGCCCCCAACGGTCTTGCTCACGAATGGAAAATTCCTCGAAGGGTCTTCGCGAAAAAACCCGCCAAACGGCTGACTTGACGAATGTAAAATCTATTTGCTAGTACCACACTAGTCCTGCGCGCCAAATGAAAGCTCGGTAAACTTGTCAAAAGTGCCTAATCCGATTGGACTTGCCCGTTTTATATACGTGTATTATGATATTTTAACCCTTTCAGGATGGTCGACATAATAATGTTATTTATCTGTCGTGTAACAGCCGTGCCTACCAGCCGGCTGACGTGTTTTCCTGACAGTTCTGCGACTAACACTAAACACTCTCCGTACCGAAAAGAAAAATGGACAACCGACCTTTTCGAAAGTTCAAAACTTGTCCCAAGCCCTATATACTGAGACTACATTTATCGTGGCATGGTAAGTCCCCCTGAGTGCTTAGAAACCTGGCAACATTTATGACTTACAGTGTTCCGCGTGTCCTATCAAATGTTTGTCGAACTTTCTGCAGACGACATGATATAATAATATTTATTGGATTCCACACGGAGTTGCCGGGTTTTTTCATAATGCTCAGATGCTTTTTTGTCAAAACTTAACGACATGTCAAGGACTCTTGCGCGATTGCAATTTCAGTACACACACACACCTGCAGCTGTCGTCCACCTGTATCAGTTTGTGTTGGATCGCGGGAAAGTTTTGTTGAGTCAAAACGGTTAAACTTCTCGACTGTCAACCCTTTTCCGCCAGCAGTAACATAGCAAAAGTAACAATAACATATTAGCCAACAACAACAGCCATAATTTGCGCAATATATTAATTTTGTCGAGAATTATGGCATGACCTGCGTTTTCATCCGAGGGGGGGATGGAGGAGATAATTGTTTTTGCATTTTATTGTCGTTATTGTGCCGTGTATAAGACAGCCGGCAAAAAAGGTGCGCCTACGCAACCCCTCCGCACCTAAATTGTAATTTTTCCACTGGTCCTCCCCTTCCCGTCGCTGCCGCCCCCGCTTTCATCGGTTAGTTAACCGTGCGCACTTCCTATTTCCCATCGCCGCTGCTCCGCACACGGTTACACAGTATTTTTTCCATAAACATTAGTTATTTGTTGGTCCGTTAAAAACAAATATATATGATATACAGGTAGGTAAAATGATAATTTCGCGTTCGGATGTAGGAAAATATAATATATACATTAAAAATAATTATATCTTCCGGTGGCAGTGGCGGTGGTCGGTCGTCGTCACCGCGCTCGTTTTTATTTCGATTCGACGCCGATAAATTGGCAAAAAGCAAACTCCAGAAACGTCATTATCATTATTTCGGCTTATCCAAATATTAATAAATAATAATTGTTTGTTTTTTTTCGTATTGTTGTATCTCCGACATTTAGCTGTTGACATTCGCCGAGCGTGTGCATGTGTGTATTTTGAATGGCGACAGTACAGATAAAGAAATGGCGATTGTCGTCGTCGCGGGTGTACTTTAATTTTTTGAACGTTATTATTTGAATAATGACAATTTTCGTGTTATACGCACGAAGACCGCCCGATAGATAACGAACACCACGGAGATGATGATGATGATGATGATGATAATGATAATGATAATGATAATGATAATGATGATGTTGATGTTGGTCGAAGAGAAAAAAAAAGTAATAATAATAATATAAACAAATAACGCGGATGTGTGTTCCATAGTTCATCGCCGTTTGCGCGGTTCTACGCTCATAGTAATAATAATATTATTATTACGGTTTGTGGCTAAAAATAAGCAAAACTACTATTTATACAGTCGTGTTGCGTAACGATCAAACGTTTTTGTTTTTCAGGGTCCTCCGTAGGCCGTACTATAGTTTTGTTAACGTTATGATGATATTTTTTTAACACACATTTCGAGATAGCACTGCAAACCGTGGGTATTTCTGTTGGAAATACTGCTGTGGTTTTCTTCGCCAAAACGTCTGCGGTTTTCCGGTTGCATATTGTCGTCGACATAACAAAAAACCTAGGGCGTCAGTCTTAACTCGACAATCGGAATGGTTCCCGTGGGCAATTTCAAAACGAGAGTACTTCGGTCGACCGACCGGAAGACAAAAAGGCGTCTGCATTCGCTCTACGCCGTCTTTCCGTTATACTCGGCTGCTAATATTTTGTCTACCTCTGGCAGCCTAGGATTCAGTTGTTTTTGTAGTGTCCCCGAGACAAGTTGAAATATACAGCAAAAGCTAGATTCAATTGAGAAATAATCTATTCTATCGACGATGGAGGTTTGTTTTTATTTCTAGCCGCTCACATTAAAATGGTACATAGAACAATATGTAAATTCGTTTGTTGCCCTCGAGCAGTAATTGTATCTAGGGATAAAAGTTCTAGTTTGTCAAGCGATGGGTAGGAGAAGCGTAGGGGTGGGGGGTAGATACGTGGTTTCGCTATTGTTATAATGGTTGTTATTTACCTTACGGGGGTGGAAAAAAGGCGTAAGAGGTAAATACAAATCTACGGCCGTATAGTATAGACAAGAGAGGCGATCGGCAACGACTAACGACCGTACGATTTATTGTTGTCCGTCGACCGTCGGTTGCGTTCGTGTACGGGAGATGATTATTTGAATACACAACCGTTGCGGTACGAGGTATAGTTTTTTTTTTTTATTACATTATTATGTATATATTATTATACGCGTCAAGTATGATTTATATGTAGTTTTTATTTATTTATTTTTTTTTTTTTGGCAAGGGTTTAAAAGGTTTGTGTTTCCCAGACGGCCCCGAACAGGTAGTCGGTAGTGATAGCGTAGCATAATAATATAGAGAAATTGAAGAGAAAGAAAAAGACACCCTCGGATTATTCGCCATCAGACCCAGACAATTGTCGTGTTTCGCAATTTCTTTCTTTTTGATTTTTTCTCCTTACCTACTTAAAACGTGAAAAATAGTTGCCACCGGCGGTCGACGTGATGGGGGGGGGGGAGGCGGTGGTTGTGTAGTCCGTCTGGGCAGACCACCAGACCATTATGTATATGTATATTGTATACCTAACGAAAATACCGTGGCGTGTCCCGTTCGAGGGTTGTTGTTGTGTCTGGGGAGCTGATTCCGTATTCGCGTACGCGGGCCAACGTGATGCCGTTATTGTATGTATACATAGTAATAACTAAAAAAAAAAAAAAAAGGAACGTTTTTTAAAAATAATTTTTTATGCCGGCGTGTGGGTGGTGTGTATACAGAGCGTTCCGATTATCTGATGCCGATGGCCGAGACACCACCCCAAATCGGCGTCTTACTAATTACTATTGATTATTGCTGAATCTCGATAAAAATAATATGACCTTCAATTCAACATTTCGTTTTTATAAAAACAGTTTTATCGACGTTTTAAAAATAATATTATTATTTGTGCGCCATTTCTTATAAAAACTAAGCATTTTAGAACAACATTCAGTCGTTACTATTTTATTGTTGGCCAGTTTTTTTCCGACTATAGTGTTGTTTTTGATTTGGCTCCTTATTTGAGAATCTATTTGAGCGATTTTAAGATATAGTTGGCATCCTTTGATGACTTCAGCGTCGGTCACCGCTCTGTATGCGGCGTCTGCGGGTTGTTAACCGGTTGTGCCGAGTTTACGGGGGTGGCTGAACGGCAGCAAACGTTGTTCACATGACCGAAAAACTATCAAAACGATACGGCTCGTTGTTCTTTGGACGTTGCTGTTATACAGGGTGTATAGACAATCGACAGTAGTGGTTGCCGTAGACGGTGATGATGTCATGGTCTGTCACTTAGGGAGTCGTTTTTTCAAACGACATTAAGCCGGCCGTGGGGACCAGGCACAGGTGTCTTTTTTTTCCCCATGTACATGTACTGGAGGTAATTTTGTGAGTACAGACGATTTCGGAGCTTACTTGAAGTCATATTAGGTCTAATTTCATCGTCGATGGCCCTACAATAAATGTATACAATCATTTTGCTTTTCGCTCCGAATTCGTGGCGTGGTGTTTTATATTATTATAATAATATTATGACAACAGACAACTTGATGATAATTATAATATTATAGCCGTTGTAGAGGTCAACGACGGTATTATCGCGTAGCAAAATAATTATTATCGTCGTTTCGTTTGGGTTCCGATAAAACGTCTAGACGGTCTAATTTTAAAATCACTTAGCGCACCTACACAATACCTAAATGATATTGGTTTTTGTAAAACGGCAAAATCTGGTAAGTCCGGTCGCTTGGACACGAATGTAGCGCGTTCGAGACGCCGCTAATAGATTAGCTCGGTCGTTATGATGATAATATGTTAGCCGATATTAAATCTAATAATATAAAATATATTATTTACAGAAGTACCGTTGTGCCATTTTTATATGGTTATTACCCAAACGGAATATATTATGTCATTGAAAAAACTAACTTTTACCGTTCAGTACCTTTTTTTGCATTTTCATAAATTGCAACTAAATTGTATTGTCCAATTTTCACTACAGCGTGGAGTTCCAACTGAGAAATAGTATTTAATTTATTATGTGTATTCTACTATTGTTTAAACGACAAAATGAATAAAAAGGTTACAGGGACTTAAGGGTACAGCGAATACTTTTGACTGTGACTACTTTTATCCAATTAAAATGCATATGTTTTTATGTCGAATTTCAATTTCTTTTTCAGGTTTGTTATTACATTGAGAAGAAAAACTGTTTGACGTTACATAATAAAAAAAACGCAAAGATGACCAACAACCATATAAACACGATCGCTGGACAGGACCAGCAATACTGTCTGCGGTGGAACAACCACCAAACGAACTTGACTAACGTGTTCGTTCAGCTTTTCCAGTCTGAAGAGTTCACGGACACCACGCTGTTCTGCGAGGGTGGGCCGCCGGTGAAATGCCACAAAATGGTGTTGGCCGCGTGTTCGTCTTACTTCCAGTCGGTGTTCGCCGAAGTCCCTGGCAAACATTCGGCTGTGGTGCTCAAAGACGTGGGCCACGCCGAAATGAAGGCCATCCTCGATTACATGTACAAGGGTGAAGTGAACATCGCGCACGATCAGTTGGCCGCGCTGCTCAAAGTCGCCGAAATGCTCAAGGTCAAGGGCTTGGTCCAGGACAACTCGTACCATTCGCCGGGCGCGACGGCCACCGTCGACGAAGACCGCAATATCATCAGCACCTCGTCGCCCAACCACGTGTCGCCCGACGGTAATACGAGCGCTCCCAAAGACCTGGCAATCAACATCAACAACAACAATGAGCACAACGGTTCGCCGCCACACAGCACCGGCATCAGCCACCAGTCGCCGTTCTACAATAAGAACTATTACGGCAAGTCGATGTCGTCGTCTCCGCCGCCGTTGACCGAACACAGGGCCGGTAGGAGCAACGTGCCCATGTGGCCGATGCCTGCACTTCAGATGTCCTCGACGCCTGTCACCAACGCCATGTTTGGCGGCACGTACGACACTATGGTGGCCGGATACCCCGGCATGTCGCCACTTCGCCGTAAAAAGCTGTCCAGCATGCTGATGGGCCGCGACACCCCCATACTGCGAACGGTTCTGGGACAAGGCCAAGCGGATTCGTCTCAGCAACTCGCGCCGGCCATGTACGGCGGCTCCGAGGCGATGGAACATCACCGACCGCAATCTAACGGATCTGAACACAGCAGCCAGTTTTCAAAAGTAAAAACTTGTTTTTTTTTTTTTAATTGAATTAACATACTTACAATTTACGTTAACACTCTATTTACTATGTTTATCAAACATTTTACTACACCAATTTTGTTTCTGAAAATTAACGTTTCGTGTTTATTTTACAGATAAAAATTGAAGGATCAGAACCACATTCGCCTTACCCTCCTGATATGTCCATGAACGATGATGAAGAAATTATGAGAGTGAGTTAAACTATACGTAATAAGAATTATTTGGTATTTGGAATGAGATCGTTTTTTACAATGTCTTACTAAAAACAGTTATCGTTTGTTGTAGACTCTGTGCCTACTCAATTTCTTTATATTATTTAAACATAGTAAAGTGAACACTGTTTATTGCTAAAAAATAATTTTAACTACTTTTTAAGTATAATTACTGTTAGTATGGTCATTGGTAAAACGTGTTCCATACTTCCATGATTGTCGTGCACATTATTTCACCGGCAACTAATAAGCGCACTGCAATAAATTAATATTCATACCTGAAAGTAAATGTCACTATATAATAACAATGCAATAAAATTAGATAATAATTTTGTATAACATAACATAGTTACTTATGAGTTACTTACTAAAATACCAAACATTTCTTAGTGAAAATATTACAATGTATGTATATATACCAAACCATAATTATAATAAATTAAATTTTTGTAGATGGGAAAAATGAACAATTCGTCTTCTCCACAATCAATGTATGGAGATTCAAAAGGTATTTAATTTTTTTAAAACTTAAAATAACTACTATTACTTGTTCTGTTAGAAATATTATAATTCTCCTTCTTATTTTAGAAAATTGAAAAAAACTATATTTAATTTAAAATTTGTATATTAAATAGGAGGTGTTGTAACTCCGGGAATCGCAACATATGTGCCGTCTCATAAACCCGAATGGAAACGATACAAGCAGTATACAAGACAAGACATTATGTCGGCAATAGATGCAGTTCGAACGGGCATGAGCGCATTACAAGCATCTAGAAAATTCGGAGTTCCTTCGCGTACCCTTTACGATAAAGTGAAGAAACTTGGCATAACTACAAGTCGTCCATTTCGCAGATCTGGGGTTAATAACGGCAATTTAGGTTTTGCATATGGATTAGGCCAAGGCACTAGTGGTGTTATGTTCCCGGGACAGATGTCTGGACCCGAAGATGAATCTGGTAATTCTTCAGCTATGGAACATGCTACTGCTGGCTTTTTACATCACGCGCTTGGCCTATCTGGAGTATCTATCAAATCCTCTGATCACGAGACGTCCAACAATGGTCATTCGCCTCGCTCAGACAGAATGGAAGACGGTGGTTCGCCCTGCAGTCCTGAACTGATCAAATACGCCGGGCACAGGGAAGACACGCGATCACCAACTCCCACAGACAATGATGACCAAGCACAGGATCTGTCTGTATCTCGTAAGTCTGAGTCTTCTGTGCAAGCGACACCCACATCCAGGGTTATTATGGCACCTATAAGTCAAACACCCTCCGTGCCCATGTTAGCTGCTGGAAACGACGACAGGGACTAAAGTTTGTGGTTAAGTTTCAAAGGGAAGTGTGTGCAATCCAAATTCAAATATTGAATTTAACTGAACCCCAAATCTTAATTCTAGGCTATTGGATAAATACTGTCTAGCCCTTCTTTAGCTTTAGTCGTACTGTCCAAAAAAATGAGCTTTGGCCTATAATAGTGACATACCAGGGTTGTTAGTTGGAGCACTACAGATTGTATTGTTGGTTTGAAAAATAACTCTTTATAATGAAATTGTTTTTAAATTTTAGTTGATACTTTTATTAATTTATTATTGATATACTTTTGGACCAGTCGAACTTTGAAAAAATATTGAATAAAACCTTAAGTACATATTTTGTACATAAATTCTATTTAAAATCTGTATTCTAACGTAATTTAAAGTCTGACAAAAGAGTAATCAAAATAACTGTCGTTTCAAGTAGCCAATCAAATAATTTGTTGTCGACAATATCTGTTCTTGGATGTATGTCGTTAACGAACTTTGTTCAATCCATCAACTGCTCAATTATTGTTATTCAAGAGTTCCTCTTAACAAAACCTACCTAAAGCTATAGGTACCCCGATTGTAAATACCTCAATCAATAGGTAAAAAGTAAATATTTAATAATAATAATAATATATAAAAAAAAAAAAATTGATTTAATTATTATTTTATTATTATTATTATAAAATGGTTATTCACTTTACCCTCACTTAAATGATTCCCTCCATTTATTATTATTATTACTATTATTTTTTCTTGAAACAGATATTATCTCAAACCGCATAAGACTGCTACTTGTTAAAAATATTATATGTAGTTAAGTAGTAAATAATAATAGAATACATATTGTGGTATAACATTTGTTTAGTTAATTTAAACCAAGGAGACTGTTTTTTTAATGTTAAATCTACACTGGTACCTTACAATAATAAATAACTAATGTGTTCATACAGTTCTATGTCAATATGTTACATAATCATTGTTAAAGATTAATTTTGTCAATGCTCAGTGTGTTAAAAACAAAATGAAATTCATGTGTTCATTAGTTTTAGAAAATACCACTTCGGGGCCAATAATAACATAAACAGTTACATTTCACATAGATAAATAATAAGACTGAGTAGCCTTAATTTGTAAAAGAACTGATTCATAATTTGACTGGTTTGATTTAAACATTTTCGTCTTTGTTCTTATTGAAGTTACACAAACATGTTATTAAAGAATAAAAAGACGGAAATTTAAGACTGAGTTGGCTTTTCGTTATACAATATAAAAATTAAAATTAAAAAAAAATATTAATTGTTTATAGAATTTAATTGTAATATTAATTTAGTTTCAATTCACTTTTAAGTATGTAATAGATCTACTAAAGTATATAATTCTTATATGAATTTACTTGCCTGGGCGTAATGCAATTTAAACATGTTTAGCTTTGTTGTTTTCTTTTCATTTCACATGTTCATGTTTTAAGCAGGACTGTTAAACTATTATAATTTAGTAAAATTTAAGTTATTTTTGTTTCTTATTTAATTTACAATTGTCTGGTTTGTGTAAATTATTAATAGACTAAATGTAGTTAAATAAGTATTTTTTTATAACTATTTGGTGTTCTGTTTAAAGTACATTTCGAAGTAAAATTAAAAAAGTATTTATCTTTTTTATAATCAACACACTTTCTAATTAAATTACATTTTTTTTAAATGGTAAGTTTTTGAATCATTGTTTTATTTTTGTTCGACTATTTTGGGTTTCATTAAGGGTCTTTATCTAGATTATGATAAGAAATATTAAATTTATTATATATTTTGTTAAAAAATATATTTATTGATATTTATATATTTATATATACTATTATTATTTTATTTTCGACTAAATTTGTTTAATTATTTTGGTCATTGAAAAATGTTTGGTTTGTGTTTTGATAAAATATCTTAGGATTTCTTAACATTATAATGTTAATAAAAGTTGAAATTATTGAAAAATGATTTGAAGAGGATAACGTAATTATAAATGAAAATTAAATTAATACTTGAGTTTAATGAAATTATAATTTTGGTTGAGTAAGGTATGAAAATTAAATTAATTACATTTGTATTGAAAGTGCAGGTGCAATTACGGATAATTTTTTTTGTACAATAAGGACCTTTTTTTTTATTGTTTAGGATTATTATATTAGTTATAGTTATTACTATTATTACTTTAATATAAATTTCAGTTACTTTTGTCATATATATTATTTTTTACTAATTTTTTTTAGGAAAATTGTTTATTAGGTTTAATATTTAAATTTATATTTATTATATAAATACTTTAATTATATTACTATTTTATCTCATACATTAGATGTGCATATTTTTCTTACATTGTTTTGTTACATCATATACAAATTATTATCATGTAATAATTATTTATTTATTTTTTATTATAAGACTGAATATTGTTCTAAGTTTGTCAAACATAATTTATAAATCATGTTTTACTTCTCTTCGATTTTTGTAAAAAAGAAACAAAAAATACTCACTTCATTTTGGTGTATCCCTATACATTTTACTATATATTTTAATAATAGTAATTAGATATACAAATATCTAAGTAGTTATTCTTTATATACATATATTATGTAAACTACTCTACTGATCTAAGATAATAAAAAGCTATTGGAAAACTAGAGTGTTGTTCAATGTTTATAAGTTATAACAATGAAAGTAAATTGTTATACTTATTATTCTAGATACTTACCCACAATTTTAATTTTGAAGTCACTAATACGAAAGTTGAATTTTGAAGGTCGTGTTTTGCATACAAGTGTTATTTCGGATATACCGATTTTTAAAGGGTACAGTAAATGTATTTAAATTTGACTATGAAGAGATGATAAATTTCTACACAACAAAAAATTGTTTGTGAAATGACGAACAATAGTTTGTACAAAGTTGGTTTTTTTTTCCACTAGTGTCGGTAGAGAGCCTTAAAAAATAATATTTTAACTAGTAACTTTGATAAAGAAACTGCCAGTAATAATTCATTAATTCTTGCCTATAGAACAAGATGAAACTGAAAAACAGCTCAAAAAAAATGTCATTCCTAAACATTATTTCAAATTATATTCTCTAACAAACCATGTCTAATATATCTGAGCCATCTACAGGTGTATAGTGCTGTACACCCCTGTCTCAAAAAATGTATTGTTATACACCCAATTTTCCAGCGTTAAAACATATTTTCACAGGATAGGTTTTACTCGCTTCGTGATGGTTATAGAGCAAAAACACCTGAACAAAAACGAAAGACGACAAGACTTTGGAAACAATGTGGTGCTTTTATTCTAAAACCAAATTTAAGCGAGTTATTTTCAGTCTGCTTAAACTTGTAGAGATGTAAAAACATATGAAAATCACTTTCAAGAATCCTGTGATAGTCCGAAAAATAAATTAACTACCAAAATAGAGTATAGGATAAATTACAATTCCCCCTCCCCTATCAAAACTGTTTTGCGCAGGACAAGTATGTGAGGCCAGTATTAGCAGTAGATTAACCAAACTTCCATATACGGTTTTAAGCAAAATCTAACATATTTTTACCTAAAATCACGATTTAAGATAATTTATTAATTCATGCTAAAAAGTAACACTTATCCTGGAAATTTCATGTGAATAAAATTTTTTACATCAAAAATTTGCTCTTGTAATACAATAATCAAGTTAAAATAGGGAAATTCGGAAATCGTGCAAATAAGAACCACCCTAATGAGTAGAAGTGCTGAGGCAAGAGGCACAGGGACCGACCACACAAAAATGATCAGGTGGATTCAAATCAATCTTAACAGAAGTAGACCAGCTCACGCTATTTCTTGTCGATTTCGAGTTGGGAAGCCAAGGCTAAAGCATGTTCCATTCTAAAAATGAATCTTCACGAAAAAATAATTTTGATTGTGCATAAGTTACCAAAAACGTATTTATGTTATAAAGTTATATGAATTATATAAAGTTCTTCTCTATCCAATTGTAAAAATTGTATATAGTTATTGTAAATTTATTTATTCGTATGAAAAAAAATATTCGAATGGTGTATTTGACCGGGAGGGCTATAGCTAACTTTATGCCAGTTCGGTCGCCTGAGGGTGCATGGCATTTCTGTCATGCTTATTGTAAATAACGCCCTCAAATTCTTATCCCCCGCAAAACCATTTTCACGGATAAATTACAAATGGGTAGCGTCCTCTTAAGTTGATCAAAAATGTATAAAAAGTGTAGAATATTAAAATGTTTGCTCAATAACAAGTATTTCCTTGAAAGTTAATTTGGTTTTCTTCAACGTAAGTCAACAATTGATGCACATTCCTTGTTAGGCGGTTTGAAAACGGGTAGTTTTTAAGGGGTTTAATATAGGCAATATTAAAGAAAAAAGGGGTTTTAATAAATTTCAACCGAGTCAATTTATTTTTTGGTTAATTTTTATAAAATTTTTTAAAAATACCCCTTTTTCTTCAAAATTGAGAAAAATATCCAACAAATTACATATTTTTCAACTTAAAATAACGATACTCTATAACATTTTAAAAAATAGCCCAATATTTCCAAATTTGTATGGAATATTCCTTGAACATAGTACTACTGATAAACATTGACAAACAAAAAAAATATCTTAAACCTTTAGAAGGGATAGCAATGTTTTATTTATTTCATTTTTTCAAGTAGATTTAGGAATTTAGGTCTGAAAATAAGACCGAAGGTAGGCCTAGAATAGAACTCTAGCACATAAATAAAAAATCTCAAAAGTCTGAGAAAAATACCCCAAAAAGGGGCAATTACACTTTGATTGTAGTCAATTTACAATTTTTATTGTAGGGCATCTTGCTAAATAAGAGGCAAATATTTTTTTTTAATGCCTCAGAATTTTTTTTAAAAATTAAGATTTATTAATTTCAAGAAGTTATTTCAAAATATAAATAAAAAAAGTAGACGAAAAAAGGTGTTTAAAAAGTAATAAAATTTTATATTTTCTTAATTTTTTGGTTGCGATTTCATTATGTTTTTAAATCCATTTTGTATGCTATATTTTTTTCCTAAAGCAATTGTAGCCAGTTAAGACACTTATTAGTTATTAATTATTTTAACAAATAAAATAATAAGTGGATAATAAAATTATACAGATTATAGGTCTTGAACAGACATTAAGCGGAGACGATCGATATTGAAATTGATAAGACTGGCAATCCGTAATGCAAGGGATATTATGTCATTTATAGGGATAGGTAGGCGGATAGACCCCATAATTTTTTTTTATAATAAAATAAATTTACTATGAGGGTAGGTGTAACTAAGCTTATGAATTATTATTGTTATGGTCCGGTTCATGTTTTTTGTAACACATATTTTTTTTTTCATATTTTCGGTATTTAGTATTGACAGAATATTTTGGATTTTTTAATTTGGGTTTATCTATAAACCAATAAAATAATGACAATATAAGATAATTTTTTTTAAATAGAGAATTATGTTATAGCAAAATTAGTAGGTATTATCAAACGAAAAAGAAAAGTCATTTATTTTGTTTTTATAATGTGTGTTTTTTTTTTGAAAGAAGTTAATTTTTTTTAGAAATTATCATCAGATAATTATTGTACAATTAAATATATTAATTTTTTTTTAAAACAATTAGACTGTGGTTACAATTATTATTAGTAAATTGTTTTTTCCTCTTTTGCGGCTCAATTCAAATATTTATTGCATTAACAAAAAACTACCTATCCGCCCCGGGTCATTTAATATATAGGTATATGTAGTTTTTTTTTGTAGATAAATTTTAATTTTTTTGCTTTGAACAATGTAGATTATAGAGCAACGGCGAACCCAATTTGATTAGAGAACCATTTTCTTCTTCTAAAATTAAAAATATGATTAAATATTTGAAAATATTAATTTCTAGTTATTTGCTATTATGGATTTTGACGTTTTTTCTAAATTTTAAGCGAGAGGCTCTGAATATAAGCCCCGCTTGCAAACCCCTTCCCCCTCTAATGCCGGTCCCGCTTCTAGAATTCTATACCAAATGGTATTAGAGTATAGACAGTATAATAGTATAATTCGAGTATAATACTATAGACACACATTGAAGTAATGACATTATAATTTATAATATTATTAATAAAAAAATGAGATTAGATATAATAAACACAGCTGTTATCTATTTTGATAAACAACAAAATCATATCATAGAATAACTTCTTTTCTGTGATCATACTATCTGTGATAGTATCATACTATTTACATTTAACTGTTGCCAAGATTAAACATACGATTAAAGGAATATTCGATTGATTAACCTCAATAATAGAATAATATTAAGGGACTCTTAAAAGTCTAGTTTTATTAATAATTTAATCGGTTTTTTGTTATACTTGTAGTTTAAATTCAATTCCTTTGTAGTTTGTTCGTGTTTACAGTGTCATAATTATTTAAGTTGTGTATATTGTTATTTGGTTAAGTTTTCCCAATAAAACAACAAATCTTGAATATTTCGTGAAACTAAGAAGTCAAACTCATGATAATCGACCATACTCATTTTGTTAAATAGTGTTTATAATTATATTGAATTCTATTTACAATAATGAGTAAAGAAAAAGAGAGCATCACTTTGTTAAATATAAGGTAAGTATTAAAGGCAAATTACTGGTTCAGTATAGTTTACTCAGTGTAAACATTAAAACAATTGGAAAACAGATTTTGTTTGTAGTTATAAAAATATCCAAAATTGTATGATGTTTCATTTTCATAGTAGGTGTACGTTGCATTTATTGGATATAATTTTGTCGCCATATTTCTTATAGTATTTGTTGGCCTCTAAAACTTTTTTGTTAACAATATCCATTTACTACTTTGGTTAACTTAAATGAAAAATTAAGAAAATTGTGATTTCTTTTTTAGAAGTATGGATGAGCTAAACAGTGAAGACAGTTACGACGGTACATTAGTTATTGATGAGAAAATCATTGATTATGAAACCATTGAGTTATCTGATGATTCTGATGCAGAACTCGGCATGGCTGATTTTAATGATATCAAAGTAATTTCTTCTAGTTCAGAAAGTTCAACAGATACAGATCAATCACTTACATGCTCACATTGTTCGAAATTATTTTCTGACAAAGAATCTCTTTATAATCACATTAGTACATATCAAGGTGGCTGTAATACCGAGCTATATAAAAATGTTAAAAAAAGACGTAAGGGACAAGAGCCAAAAGCAAAACCGGCCATTGTTAAAAAGGGACGCAAAAGATCACCGAAAAACTTTTTTTTTAATGATGTTCCTAAAGCTATTCCATTAGGTTCACAAACTTCACCAATTATGTCTAACCAAAACCCAACTAATGAGAGTTCAATGCCATCATTACGTCAAATACTCATTGAAGAAATAGAGCCAGAGTATCCATGTTCAGTGTGTGGTCAAGTATTCCGTCATAATATAGCATTGATATTTCATTCAAATACTGTTCATAAGGAAGTAGATGGTGAGGATATAAGTACTAAGCAAAAACCGATAAACAAAATGGTTAGGAAGAAAAAAAATTGTAAAGACAGTGTGATTAAGCCTCAGAAAACCGTAGAAGTTAGTGAGCCAATTTCAGATAAAATTGATTTAACATTACTTCCTGATTTTAAAAAAGACACAGTAATAAATAGAATAAAATCATATATACACAGTAGTAGCAAAGACCAGGCAATTTGCATTTTATGCAATGTAGACTTCAAAACAACTAAAAAGGCTATGGCTCACGTTGAAGATAAACATATTTTGGAAAAGTTTGAGTGTGGCTATTGCAATATGAAATTTGTATATGAGCTTAAATTGCGCAGCCACATGGCAAAGAGGCACAAAGTAATTGTTGTTGACAGATGTATAAAATGTTTGAAAATGATAAGCAAAGAAGAGTGTGAATCACATTTAAATAAATGTAAAGGTAACGAAAAAGTACTGCAAATTAAAAAAGAGACTGACCAAAGTGTGACAAACGAAAACTAAATTTGATGTTTCAATAGTAAGTGCTTTTCAACTTTACAAATTAACATATTACAGATATAATTAGTTCATACCCATTTAATAGATATAGTAGATAATACATCCATGTAAGTGATTATCTCTAAAAAAAAACAAAAAGATACTTTCAAACCGGATATGCAAAATTACCTATATGTTGAAAACTATAATCCAAAAAATGGGCCCTTTTCTGATACTGGTATATATATATAAATAAACTAGTATCTGTGGATATAAATTTTACAGACCATAATATAGTCTGTTAAAAAAATGTATTACAGACTACTAATCAATAGGGCTAAGAACTAATTGACTTAAAACATTAAAAAAAAAATGTACTATATAATCGCCTTAAAAATCTTTTATTTATATGTTGGTATTGAATACAAAAATAAAAAAAACATTTAAAGGAATTTATTAATTAATTTATAATTATTATTTAAATAGCTCAAAGCTGGGACTAATATCGTGTTACCTATCTGTAAATTACAAACATTTATACATTTTTTTTTTCAATAGCGCAGCAACATTTATTTTAAGAAATTTGAATTTGTTTTGTTTCATATTTATTTATATAAAATATATATATATATATATAATATTTATTTTATAATATATAAAATTGTTAGTTTAAACCAAAAATAAAGTTCAAATATTTCAATTATTTTTAAAAATTGAAAAAAAAATGACTGTATAGACTAGATTTTAGAAAAAGTGAGAATAATGGTTGCATTGTGGAATTTTGCTTTTCATTATAAAATTTTTGTAGATGAGCATCATATTAATATAAAAATACTAATCAATATACAAAGTATAAAATTTAGCAGCATACAGCTTTTAACAAAATTGAATATAATAAATTGGTTTCACAGCAATAATTTTACAAAATTAAAATATTATTTAGGTTAATCCAGTGAAACATTTTTGATTCATCGTATTAAAATTTACATAAAAATTGTAACTTTTGTAATCATTTTCCTTTGATTATGCCACTTGCCATTTTTGATACCTCATTTCTCTCTAGGTTGATTGTTCCAAAAAAAAAATAACCATTTAAGGAATAGTTGGAAAATTAACATAATAATATTATTACATGTTATTATGTAATGTGTGTTTAAACACTATTTTTAGTTTTAGAAAATGTAAGTATTACATTAGTTTTACTGTTCAATAGACACATGGTTATGCTTGTCTGTCGAATTTTTGTAACATAACATCTATTAAAAATTGCATACAATTTTTAGAATACCTTTTGAATTAATCAAAGCAATGGGTTAGTATTAAAAGTGTAAAAATTATATTATTTTTAGACATGCACTATTTTTAAAAATACATTTTAGTTTCCTTTTAATTGTGTGAATATAGTGTTTTGATTATTATTTAAATACTCGTTACATTAACATTTTTTTAAAAATATTTAATTGCTATAAATTATAATATGCTTATTGGAAGCATTTCACCTAAAAATAGTTAATATTAAATAATATAATGTTTTTGTGTTTTATTATAATTTCAAAATTGTAAATTGTAAATTGATAATATTGTCTTGCCAATGATATACTATACTAATTACCATACTAGTTTTAAAAATATAGGGGTAATATCATAATGACTAATAATAAAAAAAACAAACATTTATTTCTTATCTTCTGTTAAAATTTTAACTTTAAAATGTTTATAATCTCTAGCATAAAAAAAAAATATCTAAATATAATTGGTGATAAAATGTATATGCTGTCATTATTATTTTAATTTTATTTCACAATAACAAATATTATTTACAAGATATACCTTTATCACCTTTCTTTTTAATCGTCAGTATAATTTGTATTTTTAAATTAAAAATGTCTATTAATTATTCCTACCTCAAACATACACACGTGTACGCCTCCAAAATTAAAAAAATCCCAAATTAAGGAACTCTTATATATATATGTGTACACTATGAAAAGTCCACCATTAGATTAATTTATTTTCTAACTATAAGATTTATTATTTATGAGCAATAAATCAATTTCGTATTAAATATGAAACTTGTAATATTTAATAGATAAACCAATTTTTAATTAATTTAAACGTATAGATATTTTTTTATGAAGGTTAGATTTCTATTGTCAAATGTCATAACTAAAATAATAAATAAGATAAAGATATTGTCAAATTGTAAATTATTTAACAGTTGAAGCCATAAAATATTATTTATTACCATTAACTAGGATAAATCCGGGATCCCAATAGTGGGTATATATCAAAAATAGGTAAATGCATCACTTGTAGCCACTATTGCAATTTACTCTTAGCTTAATGTGTATTTTATGTATAATTTAGTTGTAATTTACATTTCCTATTAGAATAAACTCGTTAAAGTATAAATTAATATCGATAAAAAATATTTATTTTTTTTTAGTACTAAATAATGAAAAATATATTTGTGATGTCAAGGTAGAAGTTGATATTTTGCAGTTTTAGGGAACTGTTACGGGTCACCACACTAAACTTAAAACCAAAAAATAAACTTTTTGTTGTATCACCACAGTTTTTGATATTCTTTACAATTATAAAAGTAACAAGTAATTCAACTCAAAATATATTTACAACATCTATGTATGTTTTATATATATAAATTCAATCCGTTTTTATCAATATTCCAAAGTAACAAAAAATGTATCAGTGTCGTTTCTGCAATCATCAATTCAATATGTATTTATTCCTAGACTATAAAATATACATATTATATTATTTTATAAACAATTATTTTTGATAACATTATGTATTAATATACTAGTATTACCAATTAATTTTTTTTTATAAATTAAAAATATCTAAGAAAATATGTATTTAATTAGTTTTGTGTGTGAATTTTTTTTATTTGTATTGAAAAGCAATAATGTTTGTTTGTTATGTCGTAAGATTATGCTTTTTTAATTTAATAGTTATTGCTGTAATACTATTTGGTTATAAATTAAAAATTAAGTAAAAAGTTGTAACACAGTTATTACGCTGTTGGAAATTTTATATAAAAGTTAATTTATTGTCAATTTTCAAAACCCAAAAGATACATGTTAAATGATTAGTGAATATGTGTAAACATTTAGTCATACCTTAGACTGATACTATATACTAATATAAAATATTCTTGTTTTAATTTTTTTTTTTAAATTTGTACAATGTATAGATTTTGTGTTGTCGCTAATTTATTTAAGCGTGATTTATAAACTCCAATAAAAGTACCCTAGTCATATTTAAAAGCAGTTTTAATTTTATATTTTTAACAAATAAAACAAGACCACTAAATAATTTTAATATTAAAATAATGGTTTATTTTAATAGTTATACATATTATTTCAACATGAAATGAAAAATCCAGTTATTCACTGTTTATATTTTGCTTATCTAGTATTAAACAGATTATACCAATTAGCAAAAACATTACGCCCAGCATAGTACCTGAAATAATATATTATTGCAAATTATTATTCCAAATATGAAATATTCAACATTTACTAATGTCACAAGTTTGATGCATTATTTAGTTAATTCTTAAAGTGGCGTTTGATAGAAACATACAGTACCCGTAATGTAAAACCTAGCCAATTCATTAAAGGAATATTTTTATGTAAAAAAAAAAACCAACGCAGTTGAGCCGGGAGGCATATGAGGTTGGAGTAGTAAAGTTTACAGGAACAACTCAAATTTATATAACTACTTTAAAATTTAAAGTGATTCTCAACATGAAACAGTGTAGATGGTAAAAACTATATAGACTATTCTACAGACAATAAATCATATTGTTTAATTTTTAAATTTTTCTCAATAAAAAATTGTTCTTACACTTTTATTAAATATTTTAAATGATCAAAAGTTAAAATATTCTAGAAAAAGTTTCAAAAACAACAAAATTATTTTCAAAAAATAACGGTTCCTACATTAAACTGTTTACTTTGTATAAATGAAAAAAATAAGAAATATCAATGGGAAACAGTATTTATTTTTAGAAGAATTATTATTGTGCTTAAAACTGTATTTATATGATTTCTTTTAATAAAAAAAAAAATCTGACTAGATATTTTTGCTCTTATTTCCAATCTACTGCAAAATATAGAAATCGGTACAGCGGTTTAAAAGATATTGTGAATCTCCAAACACAAAATAAACACATTATTCGAAAAACAATACTTTCTCGGCTTCACATTGAATTAAAAAATATGTCATTAAAATTTTCTTATGAAAATATAATTATTGTTAAAAAACAATAGAACCTCCCAATATATAATTATTGGGGCTGTTCCAACTTCATTGGCCATAATGGACTAACCTTCAACCAGAAGGCAAATTTTAATAGAGAGGCGCGAGTTAAAAGTCCAAGAGATAATGATTAAAAATATATTAGACTTAAAATATATATAAAAATATTTGCTATTTAAATTTAAAAAAAATGTTTCCTATGACATTTCTCTACTGGGAAATCTAAAGCAGCCCACTTAAGAAAACAGAATTATTTTAATACTTACGCATTTTAGGTTTTTCCTCTCCTACCCATGTGCCTATTATTGATGTACTTGCTAAAGAAATCCCATTAGCTATAGGAACAGCTAAAGATATTTCTAAAAAAACAGTATTTATGAATGTAACTAATTTTCGTTAAATATCCAGTATTTAATAATATTATTATACCTGCATTTTTTAGAGTGTAATAAAATAACATTGAACCACTTTGGTTGACAATAAATGGTAACATAAACTAAAACAATTAAGAAAACACAGTAATAAATGTAAACTTTACAAAATATTAACTACTTACACGCCAATTACATAAGTAACCAAACAATTCATACAAACAATTATATTTTTGTATTTTACTGTTTTTTTGTTTATTTGTAGCTAGTTTTAAAAATGGGTTTGATCCACCCCATAGTATGCCAACAATAAAAAGTTTGAATATAGAGTCTAGAAAATAAAGTTTTTAAATATGTAATTGAAATAAGATATAAGGTGGGATTTTTTTTGTAATAAAATAAAGTTATGTTGTTCAAAAATATGAGTATATTTAATTACATACAAAAATCAAATAATTACTACAGTAAAAAAAACTATTTAGTGTTTTTAGGATTTTTGGGTTGCTTTTGACTATTTATTGATTTTTGTATTTTAGACATTTTTTCTCCTTCTTCAATTTTAGCTGCTTTTTCAGCTGCTACAGCTTGTGCAAATTCTTTATAATTTTTACTAATTATTTCACTTCTTTCTTCTTCATCATTCCATATTTCATCTCTGGATACTGTATTTCCATAAATCATCTTGTGTCTTGCATTAGCTGTTATTACATCATCATCAATAACAGGAATATTTGTAGGAGGAATAAATGCTCCAACTACATGACGTTGCTCACTAACAATAAAATTGTAAGTCGCCAAGGCTGCATCTATTGGTAAGACTTCTATATTGCAACCATATTTTTTTGTAGCACTTAATACTAATTTATCAATTGATTTACGGAACATATTGTCACCAATACCCAGAATGACAACATTAGGCATGGGTTCTAAGTGAAATAACAATGATAATGAATCTTCGTTGATATCTTTATCGCTGTCAATATACCATGCAAGTATAGAATTTGGAAAGCATATAATAGGACCAAGCACTTGAAAATTGTTGTTTAAACGAAAACCAAACTGGCTATATGCCGATATCATGATTCCGTCTTTAATATTATTGTTATTTAACATAGTAACATGTGTTTTACCATCATTGTCGTATGCACCAACGAACCTACGAGATTGGTGTTGGAAAACTAATTTGGGGGATGATGCACTTCTACACACAGTTCGAATTAGATTTCTTAAAGACATGATAATAAAAGTTGCTGTGAATTAAAAAACTGTACCTTCCATATTTATAACAGCATCGTTGATTTTTAAATGGCTCAATTGCTTATACTCTGCAGTACATCTCGATACTGTGTTAAAATCGAAGTTGCAAATTGTGAATAGAAAAAAAATCAAGCTTTATCCCGAACCGTCAAAACGCCTGAACTGTAAAACGTGGCCGTGTTGTTATTACTTATGTAATTTTTACTTCATAACATAACTTTAAATTCTATAATTTTAATTTCGACTTTTGGTCCTTAGACTATGGGTAATATACAAGACAGTAACTATTAAGTCGACCCAAGGGTATAAGATGTTCTGTCTTATCATATTTCCATAAACGTTTAGATATATAAAGAAATGGACTGATAGTAGAGAGAGATCGTTTCTAAGAGATAGAGATTTGTTGGGTATCCCATGGAAGAAATAATATCATGGATAAATAGTAATATGATAATACCTGATATATTAAACATTTGTAATTAGTTTTTGTTTAAATATTGAATTTTACCTCATAATACAATATTATTTAGGGTCAAAACTCAAAGAATATTTTTTAAAATATAATACTTTTCAACTCGTTTTAATAATTGTTATTTGAGAAGCACAACTTATTTGCTTTTTTTTGTGAAATCATAATAATGTTTGTTTTGTATTTATATTTTATAAATAAAAATATACTATTGTAGAAATAAATAGTTGTCTAATATTTCAATAAAAAAAAAATATATATATATACTTTTGGTGATAAAAATTATAAATAATTATAGTGTTTTTAATTTTACTGATTTCCTCATATAAAACCTATTTTTTATATATCCATAATGTTTATACATTATATAAATATTTAATATAAACTAATTCACTAAATTATTAGCATAGGTAATAGCCATATTAATAATGGTAAGTTTTAGTTTTACATATTTACTTTCAAAAATAGGTGTTAGCGATATTATTAAGCATATTATAATACTTTAACTATTGCATACAATTTCAGGGGTGTCAATTACTAAAATCGGGTTGCTAACCACAACTAATCCATCCTAATTGTTCGTGTTGTGTTGTGTCTATTAATTTGTTTAGTTACAGTGTAGTTCTTATTCTCATTTATTTATAAAATTACACCCTAAAGAGAAATGTGTGCGTGTTATTTGTAATAAATACATAGTTTTATTATTCCATGAAATTCCTAGCAAATATATCTATCTCTTTCTAACAATAATATTGATCGAGCAGCAGTATAGGCGGAGTGTGTGGGAGACGCAGTCCATGGCTCACACTTCACAGCAGTAGATTTAATTAACCATCATTGCACTCCGGTCTATGGTAACCCACCAATAGTAATGTTAAATACTAGACTTATTATCTATACGCGCGCATAACAACAAATAACAATATCAAAGATAAAGAAATTGTGATTATTCATTATTCGTAAATAATAAATATTTGGTTTCATTAAAGTTTTTTTATACTTACAAGTTGTTACTTATTAATACTTGCCACTCGGTTAACGTGCTTAAACTTGATATAACATGCTAGCAAAGCTTTAAATAAGCTTTTCATTCGATACGTTTTTAATTAAATACCTAGTTATAATATTATAATTAAAATGACAACGGATATTCCAAAACAACTACCCATTGTATTCATTACTCCGATTTTGATTCCTGGGTATATTTTAAAAATTCAGCTACCGGCAGAAGAGAAGTAAGAATGATAAACAATATTTACATATAAGTATAACTTGATATTTAATTTTAAGTGTTAGTTCAATGGTTATTGTTGCATTAATTATAACACAATCAAGGGCGGATAGGCATGATCTGACCAGCCCGGGAAAAATGAAATCTAAAGGCCCGCAAGATCATATCCAAGATCCAACAAAACCTATTTTTTTTTTGTTAAGAAAAAATATAAATTATGATTTTAGTATATCACTATATAGTGGTATTATTATATTATTTTACTATACCACTATACCAGTGGCGCACTTTGAAATCGAATTATCAAATTTTTTTTCGAAAAAATATTCCAACAGATCACTTAATTGACAATTATTTATAATTGTAGATTTAAATATAGATTTTAGTATTATTGTATTTATTAACTATTTTATTTGTATGTATGTACATTGTACAATATCGTCAATAACAATATTTTTCATCGGCCCATCTTCGTCAATATAAGTAGCGGCCCACCGGGAAAATCCCGTTGTCCCGGTGGGCCTATCCGCCCCTGAACACAATACAGTTTTCTTTGAGAATATTTAATTTTGTATGTATTTTAATAATATACTTATGTGATTTGCAGTAATAATCTTTTAAAACATTTACTGGATAAGGATAAAAACAATAAATTATCTAACTTTATTGGCGTTATACCCAAAGCTGATTATGAAAAGGTAATTTAGAGTCTAACCTACTAAAAATTGTTGGAATTCAGTTTCTATGCTATAATGATAAAAATTAGTTAATTTATGAATTAAAATTTAATATTGCAGGAAAGCAACGTAATTGGAGCAATAGGATTAATTCAAAGCATAATTAAGTTTGACAATTTTCCAAAAGAATACATTTTAATTGTTCAAGGTATTTGTCGTTTCAAATTAGGTCCAGTAATCATCAAAGAACCCTTACTAATTAATGAAATAGAAGTAATAGAAAATTATAAAGAACTTATTGGTAAGTATAGTAATGAAATAGAATTATCCTTATACATTGGGAATCTTTAAATTTGAAGGCGATGAAAAAGAAAAAATAGATTTACAAGATGATTTTAAGAAAGCGTTTATTGATTTGTTATCATGTTTAGAAATGAGCATAGTTAACCCATCCATACAAGACTATTTTAAGGTATTATCATTTATATACATAATATATTAATATATACTATACATAAAAAAAAAAATATATATATATATATTAAACATATATATACATAAATAAATTAACATTAAAGATTGATGTAAGATAAATAAATGTTTGTTTTTATATTTTTTTGTAGAAGTTATTTAACAGTCTTGTGTTACATCAAGCTCTTGATTATTGTTTGAAGACTTTTATTCAGCTAACTCCAGCTAATGCTTATGAAATTCTCCAAGCACCAAATTTAAATAAATTATTAACACTTGTGACTGATTGGCTAAAAGAAGAGACTATTAGTAAGTAAAATAAAGTTCTAAAACAATGTTTAAGTCAAATTGCATAATCTTTATTCACTTAATTTTAATAAAAAAAACATATTTCTTTTAAAAAATGGTAATGGTAAACCAAACATTCTTACAACTAGTGAGAAATCAAGAATTAAGACTATCAAGCAATAGTATTGTGACGCGGCCCCCTCAACCTATCACACAGGTTGGGCCCGCGCTGTATTTTTTCTGTCACCCGTCGACACATTGTGCGACACTCGGTTGTGAACTTACTCTCCCACCGTCCAGTTGGAGAGTGCAAAGTCCACACCGGGGAAAACGGCCGCGGCCGGCCGCTACTAAGCTTCTCGGGTGTTCGCTCTCTTCGCTCCCCGTCGTCATCACGAACACACATAGTTGCCCGCCGCCTATGTTTCTTTTTTTCGTTTTATACACGACCCGAGCGACACCAATTTAATATTGTCTTTTGTTTTTCTTATTTGTCATCTTTTCTTTTGTGTCAAATAGCACTTGTTTCTTTTTGTTCTCATCAGTGTCAAAATAAACGGGCTCTGCCCCCTTAGTTCAAGCACCCACACATTGTGTGTACTTATTTATTTTTTTTTATTCTTCCCCGTCCTCCACCTTTTTCACGGAACGTCGACCGTCCCTAGTGTCGCGTCAATTGCATTAGGCAATTGTTCTACTTGAGGTTTATAAAGCTATTTATACCATTACTTTTTTGAAACTTATTTTTATTAAAAAGAAAATAAGTAGATTAAATAATAGTTTCTATCAAAGGTTGTCTATATTGCTATTGTACTTCAGAAAATAAAATTATTAAAATGTATAATTATATTTTTTATAGAAAATATCAAGTCCACGAAAAGGGATAAAACTGGTTTAGTTCCAATACGCTCAACTTTTCCTATTAATTCAGGAAGCATAAAAATAATTGAACAAAATCATCCCCATGATCTTAAAAACATACTAAAGTTAACCAAGTTAGTGGAAAAATATTTGTTTAATATTATATTTCTATTTTATTTACCTAATATTTTGATCATTATTAATTTAATTTTTAGAAATTCAAATATACCGAAGTCAGTTCATGATGTTATATTAAGAGAATTGGACAGTTTAAAACATATGACAAAGAGTAATCCAGAATATTCTATAGTTTTTAATTATGTTAGTTTTATTGTCAACTTACCATGGGGAAAATTTAGTGATGAGACACTTGACTTGACAAAAACAAGAAGTATTTATAATTATTTTAATTTAAATAATTTTTAATTAAATTTTTTATTTTATTTTAAATTATTAATTAATTAAATTAATTACTGGTTTTGTATATTTGTAATTTAAATAAAACAATTTTATAGAGATTCTGCAGGATAATCATTATGGTATGTGCAATTTGAAACAAAGAATATTACACTCTATCGCTGTAAGAAAATTTAATCCAAATTTACAAGGACTGATATTATGTTTCTGTGGGCCGCCTGGAATAGGCAAAACCACTATAGCCAAATCTATTGCAAAATCATTGAATCGTAAATTTCAAAGGTAAAAATTAATATAATGTTCAATTCAAAATGTGGTAGAGCGCTGTAATTTAATTAATTATTATTAGTGTGGAGACAGTTATAGTTGTTTTACTTAGGTGGAAAAAGTGTAGTTTTTTTAAAAAAATTATCAATAGTAAATATTTTATAAGAAGACTGGACATCAAACGATTAATACAACTATTTATAATCTATGTAACCAATTAACGCAGGTGTTTTTTTTTTGGGATTTTTGTTTTTTAATGATTGGTGTCTTGGGTGCTTTATTAAAAAAAAAAAAAATTGTGTACTTAGATTTTGAGAAATTTGATGTTGCTATATGGCAATGCACGGCGCTAATGGGTTAAGGGGTTTAATTTATGTAATTTTTTTGCAATAGCCTAATTTAAAATAAACTTGTTTACAAATGAGATAATTTTTTTTATAAGATAATAAGAATATTATCTTATAAAAATGTAATAGTATCTTGTCTATCTTCTCTATTTCATCTTAGTGGTTGTACAGTGTTAGCAATATTGTGACGTATCTCTTACGTATTTTTTGTAGTTATTTAATATTTTTTTATTGAAGTAAATAAACCAATAAAAAGTAAATATACTGTTTTTACTGTTTGTCCAGTAAAAACTTAACTACTACAAAAAATAGGGCGGTTTAAAAGTTGTTTAGTTTTTACACCTAAAATTACAAACTGTTGGCGTCCTCTTGTCAATTATTATTAATACATTTAAAATATAGAATTAAAATTTTTTTTGTGTTAGAGTATCATTAGGAGGAATAAATGACCAAGCTGAAATTAAAGGTCATAGAAGAACTTATATTGGAGCTCTGCCTGGACGTATTATGCATGCTATAAATAAGGCTCAAACAATGAACCCAGTTATTTTATTAGATGAAATTGATAAAATGGTATGTAACCATCATATTTACATGTATGTTAATATTTGATTAAACAAACTTATGTATCACAACTTGTTGAAATAGAAAAAAAACCCAGTGATGTTGAAATAGTAGTACATAAGTAAAAGAGCGTAGCCATGCTTTTTAATTATACTAAAAAAGTATTGTGTTGAAAACTGTTAGTTACAATTTTGTACTTTATCATAATCATAAAACACATTATACAGTTTAATATACTATGCAAAAAGCACTATGGTTCCAAAAATTTAATTGACAAGATTATTTTCTAAAGTTCTATTAAAATATGATATTTTAGCAATTTATTGTTTAAATGAATTTTAATTGTTAAATAATTAAAATGGTAGATTTACAGATAGCGTACAATTACTATTCATCCTTTTATAGCAAAAAACAAATTGTAGAAAAATATTAGATGTAAGTACTGTTTGGGATTTTCTTGACAGTTCTATTTTATTAAAAAAAATTTATAGCTCATAGATATAGAATTTAAAAAAAAACAGCATAATGGGTTCAATCATTCAATTCAGTCAAGTAGTTTTTGAGAAAATGTTTCTCAAAAACAGCCCTTGGATCCTGGTCTTTTATACATTGACATAACTAATATTTGTTGTGAAAAAAAGGTTGTCAAATATTGCCTGTATTTTACCCTTTAATGTATTGCTATATATATGCCCTTACTAATAAATAATAATTTAATTTTGAAACCACTAAACTAATAATAAACATAGCTGCTCCCTCTGTTAGAGCTTGGAATCTAAGAAAACATTTAGCCAAACTTATTCATTGTAAAGCAACGAATTATTGAATTGATACTAATATAATATAATTTTTTAGCATAAAGGTTCAAGCGGTGATCCTGCTGCTGCTTTATTGGAAGTTTTAGATCCAGAACAGAATAACTCATTTGTTGACTCGTACACTAGTTTACCTTTTGACCTAAGCCAAGTATTATTTGTTGCAACAGCTAATAAAGTGACATCTATTCCGCAAACATTGCGTGACCGATTGGAAATTATCTATTTAAAAGGGTACACTGAAGTATGTTTTTTTAAATTACATTTTTATTTAGACTAAAATTGTAATTGTCTTAATGGTCATATAACTGAGAACCAGTGGCGTATTTATGGGGGAAGGGGGTATGGGGGTTGTATCCTCCCCAAGGCCCTATCAGTACACAAAAATATAACAGTCACACCTGATGAAGTACTCAGTATTCTTTCACTGTCCTTAAGGAATTAGACTTTTTTGTAATTAAGAATCCAAATTTTTGTTTACATGCAACATGTATATAATAGTATGAATATATGTTTATATTGAATAGGTATGGCTGTTAAAATCTGTATTTCCCCCTCCCCCCGTGGAAAATACTAGATACGCTACTGCTGAGAACATGATATTGCATGTCAAATCCAGCTTGAAAAAATAATGTAAATTTGATACCTAATATCATTTGGACAATGCTATTAACAAATTTTTTGGAAGAGAGTACAGATTGAATATTAAACAAAATATTTAGAGAACGTAGAACTTTGAGAGAGGATTTTGTGAAGTAGAAGAACATAAAAGAATATATGGTCGATATCAATAATTGGTTATGACTAATCACAACATATTTAATTATTTGTTAAGTCGTTAAAAATTCTATCTACATTATATTCAGTGTTGTTAGCCAATTGTTTAATATAATTCTATAAAAACAAAAAAATGTTTAGGAAGAAAAATTACAAATTGCTGAAAACTATCTTATACCAAAAGTATTAAAAGATCATAAAATGGAAAATTTTGAGATAATAATTTATAAAGAAACTTTAAGAGTTATAAGTAAGTAATATTACGGTTTATTTAGATGTAACATTAATAAGAGTTCTAATTCTTAATAAGACATATTATTGTAAGACATATAAAATTAATTTATGGATACAATAATATTTTTCTCTTCGTGAATGTTTGTAAGCTGGGTTTCATTAAACGTTAATAATTACACATGAATGATTCGTTCATTAAATGTTTACATGTGTAATGTGCAAAAGTTAACGAACAAATCATTTTTTTTAATGTTCAGTTCGCGTAATATTAAATGTTTACAGAACTCAGCTTGTCAAATTCCTTTGTTTTGTTTTCACTTTGCTTACAAGGGTTAGATTATTAAAAAAAACTTCTTTGACAAAAATTTCACTTTTCAAATTTATGTTTGTAGTAAAAAAATATACATACGAAACTGGTGTTCGTGAATTACAACGTAAAATCGAGACTATTTGTCAATCTATTGCTATGAAAATAGTCGAAAATTCTGATGAAAAATTTAACAATTTCATAATAACACCGGAATCATTGCAAGAAATCTTGGGTGTAAGGAATTATACCTATATCTTATACTTAAACACTTCAAAATTAAGCTTGTTATGTATTACAGACTGAATTGCTTGATAGTCATAATGAACAAATTGCACTAATAAAAACTGGTGTGGGTATTGCACTTGGCCTAGCGTGGACACCATTTGGTGGTAAACTTCAAGTAATTGAGTCATCGAGATTTTATTCAAAAGGTAAAAAAAACCAGTTTATAATAACTGGTTTAGCTGGCCAAACTTTAAAGGAATCTGTAGCGATAGGCCTTCACTGGATACAGTCTTTTACTTTTAAGGCAAGTAAATATATCTACAGCAAATTGAAATCATATTAACTGACTTTTATTCTATATAGAACAAAATAGACATTGACCAGTTTAATGTTCATATCCATCTACCTAGCGGAGCTTTGAAAAAAGATGGTCCTTCAGCAGGAGTACCAATTGTTTGTGCTTTGGTTTCACTTTTTTGGAATATTGCACTTAAACCAACAGTTGCTATGACTGGCGAAATTTCATTAAATGGACACGTTTTAGGAGTAATTATATTGTTGCATTAATAATATATTACATTTACATATATCATTTGAGGTAATTTTAACAATTAGGTAGGTGGAATAAAAGAAAAAATTTTAGCTGCTTACGATTCAGACATAAAAACTGTCATTATACCAGAGTCAAATATGAAAGATACAGAAAGTTTATCTCAAGAAATAAAGGTAGTTTAAAATTAGTTTTAATTTCAATTTTTGTTATTTTTATTTTTTGTTATTTTCAGGATATGGTCAACATTATTCCTATCCGACATTTAGAAGAAATGCTTGAATATGTAATTCCAGGTGGTTTAACGTATTTGCAAGATCCTTTAAATATTTTGAAGTCAAAATTTTAAATAGTTTTTCGATATTTCTTATGTGACAAAATAAACACAATTTTTTATTTATTCAAAAATAATTATCTGTAATTTAGTCTTAAACAAATAGTTGCATCCAATGTAATGTAGTGTTGAATATTATCGTAATATGTATTGATTGGATTAAAAACAAAAAAATTGTAAAATGTAAATATTTTGAAGTCAAAATTTTAAATAGTTTTTTGATATTTCTTATTTGACAAAATAAACACAGTTTTTTATTTATTCAAAAAAAATTATCTGTAATTTGGTCTTAAACAAATAGTTGCATCCAATGTAATGTAGTGTTGAATATTATCGTAATATATATTGATTGGATTAAAAACAAAAAAAATTGTAAAATGTAAATATAATATACCTAAGCAAATTGTAAATTTATTGAGTAATGAAGAACAAAATAAATGATATACATTGGTAGGTAGCTACCAGTCTTTATTTAAAATCGGTAAAGGTGGCTGTTTAACATTTAAGAGACATACTGAATTTTCCGCGTTAACACCACATCCTGTAAACAGCACAACACAAAGACCAAAGGTAGACATAGATGCCCAATATTTTTCACACCATCTGTTAACTAAGTCTAAATTCTTCTTGTTTTTAAGCTGCATGTGCGCCATACAAAACCGATTAGTAGTGTCGTTCATTGAATTGCAAACCCCGTCAAGTACAGCCTTATTTGTAGAATGTTCGTTGACAACAAATTGTTTGGTTGACCATATGCCATCATATGCTTCCATGAATTGTTTTTTAACATGCACTTGACCTTGAGAAATAAAAAAAATTAAAGAATTGTCAAAAAACTTAGATTAATATTATTTCAGATCTTATACACCGTAGATTTTATTTCATAAAAATATAATTAAGTAAAAAAATAGTTTACCTTGAGCTGGACTTTCAGTAATACATTTTAGTAAAACCAAAAATTTTTTGAAAGAATCAATATTTTTTAAATGGACAGGAGAGTTAATAAATTCAGCTAATCTTTTTTGACCAATTAAATAAGCATCACCGTATGACAATGCTGCAAAATAAAAAGTACATATATTATTATTATTATATATATATATTGTAACGTGAGCCACAGGTTGAGGAAGAAATTTAAGGTTAAGTCAGTAGTTTAACTAACTATAAATCTGGTTTTTTATCATTCCCTTTTTTCTAATGTAAATAATGAATTTGTTCTAGAAACCATTTAATGATGGCAACGTTGGGCTCTCAGAGCCCGTTAAAGCTACATGAAAAATAAAAAAAAAAGATTTACAGTAACTTTTAAATATTTTTCTTTTTTGTTTGTTTTGAAACAAATGTTTTATTGTTTCTATAGAATTAAATCTTTTGATTATAGATAAAATGTTGAGTGTCGAGTCTAAACAGAAACTGTGTAATCTATTTAGGATACACAAATACATTAAAAAATTATAGTTATAACAAAGCGTATACCTTTACGCCAAAGAAATTAATTTTAAATAAGTTAGTAACTATAGTAAATGCATACGTTTTTCCAATTTTTGTTGTACTAATAACATTGCTGCTTGGCTGTCTTCGACTGAACAATGTCCTTGATTGCCACATTGGATATTCAGATTCAAAAATGACTTTGCTAAATGCTTTAATTTACTTTTAGATCCTTTGTTACCATTTAGATTATAAATAACACTAGTGTCTATAATATATGGATGAAATAACTGAAAATATACAAATATTGTTTTACTAATAATTTTGAAATCTTAAAATCTGATATCAACCTTTAAAGCATCTAAATCACAATTTAATGATTGTCCAATTAAGATTGCATCTGCTGGTAATAATTTAATTACATCTTCTTGAACATCTTTTAATGTAGTTGTAACACCATTCAGCTTTGCAGGTGTAATTCCAGAATACTGAGTTAAATAGTTAGTGATTTTGTTTGAAGGTTTAACCAAAGATTCGTATATAACCTAAATCAAAATGATAAAATTACCAAAATATAATAAATTTAAAACAAATGTGTTATTATAAATAAATGTATTATTTTTCTAGTATTAGAGTGGAATAAGTAGCAAACTTAGCAACTTTAAATGAATAATTCTGTCAAAAAATTTGAATAATTGTCAACAAAACAGCTTTTATAATTTATTAGGCAAATTTATTTATTTTACCTTTTAAATTTATTTATTTATTCATTAGGCTTAACTAATATGCTTTAAAAAATATGCTTATAGAAATTATAGATTGATGTTAATAAAAAATTGGAAAAGTACAGCTAATTAAATAAGGTAACACAATTATAAAATATGAAAAAACATAGGAGTTGAATAAAGAAATTTACATTTAATTTCTCGTCAACAATTGACACTCGGGTGAGTTCATTTTTTCCAATAGATGTATAACACATTTCACAATCTACAGCAAACATGGGACTTTGGTTAGAAACTGGTAAATATTTATTCTGAGTAAAACGGAAGCCTTCCATAGAACATTCTCGTTTATTGATTGGTAAAGGATAATTATGTATTATTAATTGATTAAGTGACATGAGTAGTGTCATTTTTGTACACAATTCTTTGGATTTGGTTGTATTACAAGAATCTGTCTCATATTTTGAATCCAATTCTTTTTCTGAAAACAGTTTTTAATTATTATTAATATGTATATCAAAATAAGCAAAAATGTGGGACAGGACACGTTGAATTAACTAGTATATTTAAGCATTTTAACACATACCATTTTTTCTACACCAACTAGGGGGTAGTTCAATTTCAAGGGGTGGTACAAAATTATACTTTGAAAATATAGAAAAAGAATTTTTGAAATTCAAATAATCATCTGATGTTTTTATGTCACATCCATCAATTACTAAAATACATGTTTGTACAATGTTACATTGCATTTCCAAACTCGACCATCTATAAAATAATATTTAAATATATAAATATTTACAAAAACAGTTGTTGAATTAAATACATTCTCAAATGTTACATAGGACAGGATGTATAACTTCAATATTTAATGAGTATACCTTATATTAATTATTTTCCATATTTTTATTTTAGTTATATATTTATTACACTTTACTTACCTAGGTACATACTTCCCGGGTCCATAAATAGAATATAGAAGTAATTCATTTAGTTCAGTGATTTTTAACGGACTTTCACTTTTTCCATCTTCATTTAATTGAGACTGTTGTCCACGTTTATTGAGTACTACTCTAGGAAACGACTGTAACAAATTTTTCAATATATTATTAATTATAATTTATAAAATATTATTAATTGTAATCAGTAAAAATTTATTAGGATTTTGCAAAACACTCAATAATTGCACTGATATTTGTGTTATTTTGACTATAGGTACATAATTGTTTAACACTGTGACAACCAGTGCATCACACAAGACACAAACGTAGATAGAATAGTAAATATTTAAATCAGTTGTAGGTAAATGTTAAATATTTAATAGAATATAAGACAAATAAAATTAATATTTGTATACTATTCTTATCCATAAATAAAAAAGTGAAGAGCATGATAAAATAAAGTTTAAATTAAAAAATAGCAAAATATAATAGTTAAAGAGTATGTAACACAATAAATAAATAAAATTGAATTACTTATTTTTTACGCACTTTTAACAGCTTTTTTTTTTCCTTTAAGTATTTTTTAAGTTTAATGTAGTCTTCTTCAGTAATACTTTTTCTATCTGTTTTTTGTTCAGGAGAGGAAGACTGAACGTTTGGTTTCTCAATTTCAACTACTTCTGCAAGTTGGTTGGAATTAGAATTATTTAAACGTCGTTTTTTTGTAGGATTTTCACTTTCGCAGCTACAATAAAATATTTTTCATATTTAGTCATTAATTATTCTGTCAAACACAATATTAAACTTTGTTGTTATTTTACTTACTAATTTACGTTATCTATTTTCCCTGTTGTGTCATCTCGATTTAACTTCAATTTTGTCATTTTCATGTGATACTGAATCACGTCCACGTTGTTAATTAATTTGAATTCTGAATGTTCAGGAACTGTTAAACAATTCCGTTTTCCTGCTTAAATCGTAAAAATAGAGTACTTTCATAATAATAATAATAATGGTAAAATTAATAAACCATGTGCCGTGTGAAATCAGTATGAGATTACGATGTACTCATTAGTCATTACATACACTACACTCTACAGCATGTTGTAGCAGACATTTTTTATTATTAAAAATATCGTGTTGAGTTGGATACTGATAACAGTTATAAGCGATTTTGGGGGAACTAGTTGACAGAGGATCTAGATGTTTGTATATATTTAAAGATAACATGAAAATCCCCCTCACCCTCCCTCAAATATAATATCTAATGTCCTTGAATTCGTTCAGCTGTTAAGAATGTTTTGTTGGACTAATCGTTATTTTATTTGGTGGTTTATTTTTCGTGGTTCGTTGTACCTTGTCTTTCTCTGTGCCCAAAGCCCTTTAGGCTTTAGTCCACAGACCATAGTCCCACTTCACAACTAAGTAATGACTCTATGCGTTTTGACTGTGACTTTTTATAAAATCTAGTCTGCCTAGTTTTTAGATAATTGTTATTGTGTGCGCGATGCGGTCTAGCAGATAGTACGTGTTGATGTACTCTCCGAATACGCTTTATCAGTATGCACATTAAATTTACGTTGCACGGCACGTTTAAAATATCGTTTATACTTAAGTTACACTTGTAGTTATTGTACCTAGTTTTAATTTAAATGCTAACAGGTCGTTGGGTAATATGATGTTATTAAATATAATATTACAATTTAGTTAGTAAGTTTAGATTTTTGTTTTATTGTTTGCGTGTATTAATTTTAATCTTTATTTTGCACTAAGTTAGGTAATATAATTTTTCCACGAAAACGTCAATATAATATTATTTTTGTTCATTGTACTTGCGTACCAAATTTTATTCAGCGTTTTTATTAAATTGTTATGAATTAGTGATGGTGCTTATGAGAATTTACCACGCATTTTGTATTAATTTGTTTTCTTTCGCTGTTACATCAGTAGATGTAATGTTGTATTGACTTTTATAAATTACAATAGTCTATAACGTGAAAATAAATTCAAAATTTAAAGTGGTTTTTTTAAAATAATAATATGAGTTTCTCTATACGTATTATCTAATACACAAAATTAATCTTTGACGTTTACCAAATTTATAAATAAAAGTTTGAAACTGTTTTTTTTTTTCATTATTAACTTAAAAGTTTTAACTTAATGTAGATATAGTTAGTATTTGTTCTACGTCTGATAACTGATTATGAAGTTTGTACAAATTTATTATTTTCAAATATTTGTAAATAATGCCTTTATCAAAAAAGTATCTTTATAAAATATGAAGACATTTTAGTCAGCAGTATAACCTATTATTCTTATTTTAACACCTATGCTAGGTCTCACCTTTAAACTGGAAAAATTGTAAAATAAAAACTTTTGAAATGCCTTGTTATACGACACAAGTAGACGATAAGCAATTCTGTTGCTAGGCAACGTAGACAGATAGTCTTATTTTACTTTTATATATATATTTTTTCTTTCTATATTTTAATTTAAAGGTGGTACCAGATAGAAATACCTGTAAATATCTTTAAGTATGTTTTATATAAAATATAAAATATATGCTTTTCTAGATGTGTGTAGCAGTGCTAAAGTTGTCAAATATGTCGCTAAAACATTTTCATTATCAACTTCTTAATTAATTTAATCATTTTAATAAAGCGTTTTAAAATAAGATAATTTAATTAATTGCTTATAATATACGGTTCTATACAGTTTCTTATTCAAATTATTTCATCCAATTTTTTTTGATAAATCATAAAATATTGTGATAAAAGTAATTAAGTATAATAAACCATACACGAAAATATTGAAATAGGTTAATAGTTATTTCTCCAATGTAATTGCAAACAGAAATGTTTTGAACAAATATAAGTGTAAAAGTCATATTTCTATTTTAAGTTGTAATTAATATTTTTTATTTTGTTTTAGGTTAAAAGTCTAATCATACAATGAGAAATAGAAGCAGAGTTACAAGCCAGTCTGATCAATCAGATGATGATAAAATTTTTACTCCAGTTGTTCATACTAGGTAAATATATTATTCTTTAAATTAACAAAACCATTTGTGGTGAAAGAGTTAAGTAAAGTGGACGTTAAGAAAAAAAGGAATGCCGAGGGTGTATGTGAAAGGATATTATGTATGAAGGGGCAAGTACAAGAGTGAATAGTGTGTGTGGAGAAACAGAAAGTTTTTGTGTAAGAGTAGGTGTGCATCAAGATTCAGCGTTGATTCCTTGCTTGTTCTCTTTAGTAATGGACGAGATTACGAAAGATATACAGGGGAGGTGCCATTGTGTATGATATTTGCAGATGACATAGTGTTAGTGGAGGAAAGTCCCTAAGAATTGGGACACTTGAAGTGTGGAGAGAAGCGCTTGAAGGGAAAGGACTGAGGATTAATAGGAGTTTAACGGTGACAGTCATGTTTGATTTTGGAGAAAGTTATAGGACAAGACAGGTAATGCACATGGGTGATGATGAAGTGTGTGAGATTGATAGGTTCAAGTAATTAGGGTCGGTAGTACAAAAAAATGGTGGGTATGAGGAGGACGTGAAAAATAGAAAAAATTGTGGATGGATGAAGTAGAGGGAAGCGTCAGGTATTTTGTGTGATAGGAGGATGCCTATAATATTGTAAGGTGAATTTTATAGGACGGAAGTGAGGCCACCAATGTTGTATGGCTCAGAATGTTGGGCAGTAGATCAGAAAATTGAACAAAGAATGAGTGTAGCGGAGATGAGAATGCTAAGATGAATGAGTGGAGTGACTAGAGAAGATAGACTAAGTAATGAATACATAAAGGGGTGTCTAGGAGTTGCATTAATTTAATTTGGGGAAAATGAGAGAGAATAGGTTAAGATGGTTCGTTCATGTTATGAGAAGAGATGAGGCAGAGGCAGTGAGAAGTGTTATTAAGGTGAATGTAGAGGGAAAAAGAGAAAGACCGAAGAAAAGATAGTTAGACGGAAATAAAGTGGTATGAGAATAGCTGGGGTGATTGAACGACATTAAAGGATCAAGCTTTATGGAGGTGTAGGGCTAGGGTGGCCGACCCCATGTAGTTGTGAGTGTAAGGTGAAGATGAAGAAAATCTGGTGAAAGAGTTGAATAGAAAACAGCATTTTTTTCTACTCCTTCACACCATCTTATTATTATTATTTTAACCTTATAATTTCTAATAAAAAATTTAAAAAAAAAACAGCTATGGGGAAGCAAACATCTGGGTATGCCTTGGAGCAATAAATAACTAGTCTATACAACATAGTTTATTTAAATTTGTTCACTTATTTTATAGATCTAAATATGCATCTCTTCACCATAATTTAGAAAACAGCCACAGTCATGATGCTGATGAATCTCACAATATTGGTATAAATTATAACTTACTTTTGCCTTAATATGAGTTAACATGTGTATAATATATTCACAGAAGGAACAAGAAGAAGTACAAGGAAAAGAAAATTGAAGTATGAAAATTATAGTGACACTTGGATTGTTGGTTCCCAAGCACTCAAAGGATATCCTAACATGATGAACAAAGAAGATGGTATAATTTATTGTATTTTGCCCTAACATTTATAAAACCTATCACTATTCTATGTATATGTGTATTGTGAACTCATAATACAAATTGCATACCCACAAATAGAGTTTCCTTTAAGATTTCATGTACACACGTCATGTATACATAGAAAAGTGAGAGGAGGGGAGGGTACATATAGCATGGTATACATTTACGAATAAACCACTGGTTTTTAAGTATAATATTTGACTTACAATTTATAAATACATTTTATAGTTCCCAGAAGAATGACTAGGAATTTAAGACATCAAGTTAATCAGATGATTGAAGACGACGAAGAAGAAGAAGATGATGATGATGTAGATGATGTAGATGTCGATCAAAAAGAAGATGAAGAAGAAACAAACGAAAATTCTGAAACCTTACATAGCATTAATAATACAAAAGAAGATAAAATTAATGATTTAACAAATAACACTGTCAGTGATAACCGTCCAAGAACAAGAAGAGCTGTAGCTGAAGCAAGTGATAAATCGAATGATCATACAAATGAACAGTGTAATGATGAAATGTACACGCGTATAAAACGTACAAGTAGACAAGCTTCCCAAAATCAAAATAAACCTAACGGTATGTAAATACAATTAATTCAATAATTAAAGAGTGATAATTTAGGATACTTTAAAGATGTTTTATTTCTTATTGAGTATTATATTAATCAAATTTTGCAAGGTCAAATTTCTTTTACTCAAAAACATGCATTATAAGAAGAATAGGGATGACGACACGTAGAGTGATTGTATCAACATTTTTTTCTTAGTTTAGAAGAGTAAAACTTCTAAATAGAGCAGTGCATATTGATCTCAGATTTTTAAAATTTCAATTTCTATGCACTGTAATATGCATTCAACTCTTCACAATTCCTGTTCTTATTTTGACTACCAAGGGGCTGTAACTATTACAAAAAATTTCACGTTAAAAATTATACTTTAAAGCTAGTACAAATTGATTAGTAATAAGTTGAAATAATCATAAATATGCTTTTTGTCAAATATGTTCTATATTTTGTCCCTTAATAAATATAATTGAGTACTTAAAAGTTATGTAGACACAGTGGCATGTTTAGGATTTTGTCAAAGGGGAGGTATGTATTGGCAAACATTTCATTGACCCAAGGGGCTTCATTCAATCACCATAATCACCAGTATTAGTTTTTTAAAAACAATTTAGAGTGTTCGAAATTAGGAAACGGGTGGATTTTAAAGTAACATTAGATTAAGAAGTATGGAACACTTTACAAAGACAACAGCAAAGGTAAATCTATTCTCCATATCTCCCCCGTAAATACACCATACCATAGACAACTAATCTATGAATGTAATTTTGACTTGATAATTAATAATTATAATTTTCAATAAAATGATGTATGATAGATCTATTTAATTTAAATTTTAGAGATGTATAGCATTAATTTTATTTAGGATCATGTCAGTGGTTCTGAATTGCAAATTTCATAACTTTTTTTTTTTTAAGACGCTGAGCAAAGCAGTAATGAATCAATAAGTTCTGAAGATAATTTAAGTAAAATTGAAGACTATTTAACTTCAATAAATAAAATAAATGTACAAAATAAACGAAGAACAATAAGGTTGAGGCAATGCAGTATTAGGCCATCTAATCGGCAACGATACTATAGATATAGTTTACGTAAAGTTAAGCCAACTGTACAAAGATTTCAAATACATTCAGAAAAAAATACAAGTAAGGAAAAAAAAAATGTTAAACTAAAATTAATATTTAATAATTTAATTACTATATATTTATTATATAATCTAATGTTCTGATCTGATATAATGAATAATAATCATGTGTTATAATTAAATAATAATTGTATGATAATATTTTAAAAAGACACCTTAATCAATATGTTTGAGTCATAATCCCAGAATTTAAATAATTAGTTTATTTTGCAAAATTTATTTTAATTCAACCAAAATTATAGCGCCTGTAATAACATTTTTAGTAAAAACATAAAGTATAATTACTTAACTTTATTTTTTAAAATAAACAAAAGCAATTTGTTTTTAATAATTTTGGTTAATTTTTTTTGTAAACAGGAGCTGCGAAAACTCCATCAAAAATGGTAAATGGTCCACGAAAACGTCGTGTTTCTTCGTCCTCTGAATCGACAAACACATCTGAGATGTCCGACAATGACTTAGAGACCTCGGTTAACCAAACACAAGTTATCAAAAAACCCAAGGGCAAAGGGCATAGTACAAGAGATGACAAAAATAACAAAAAATCATCTCTCGAAGATATTAAACCTATTGTTGTCGATAGTGGTATCGGATTTCACAATATTGGTGGTTTGCAAGAACACATAGATTGTCTACGTGAAATGGTTGTTTTTCCAATTATTTATAAAGACGTGTTTGAGTTATTTGAGCAGCAACCAGCTAAGGGTGTAATATTTCACGGACCACCCGGAACTGGAAAAACGTTACTTGCAAGAGCTTTAGCTAATGAATGCAGTAAAGGTGGTCAAAAAGTATCATTCTTTGTACGGAAAAGTGCAGATGTTTTATGCAAATGGGTTGGGGAATCTGAAAGACAACTGAGACTTCTCTTTCAAAAAGTAAGCAATAAAATACAATTTTACTATACATATTTAAAATGTAACATGATTTATTTACAATAATATATTAACAATCAAGTACCTATCTGAAATTTCAAAATTTACAATTATCCTTATTTATAAAGTCTTGGAAAACTGTGATGTGCAATGCCCCACATTGCGTGCACTTAATTAAATATTGTTAATAGGGTTAATCAACTATTGTAAAATATAAGGGAAATTTCACTATACAGTAAAATGTTTGAGAGAAGAATAATATTAAATTAAAAAATATATATATTGACATTATTTCAAAATGTATTATTTAGGCTAAAGATATGAAGCCTTCTATTATATTTTTTGATGAACTCGACGGATTGGTCCCGGTTCGCTCTGGAAAACAAGATCAAGTCCATAATAGTATAGTAACAACTATGCTGGCCATGATGGATGGTTTAGAAACTCGAGGTGATGTGATTGTAATTGGTGCTACAAATCGTATCGACTCGATCGATCCAGCTCTTCGGAGGCCCGGTCGATTTGATAAAGAATTGTATTTCCCCCTCCCTACAGACAAAGTAATAATACATGATAGAAAAACTATAAATAAATGTGTATTTATAATTTTAATAATTTTAATTGCTTACAGGATAGATTAGATATACTACGTATTATAATTAGTAAATGGAAGTGTCCCCCGGATGATAAAATCTTGAGACGGTTAGCTGAAGAAACAGTTAGCTACACTGGTGCAGATTTAAATTCTTTGTGTTCTGAATCGGTACTACAAGCTTTAAATCGTACATATCCACAGATTTACAAAACATCCAAACGTCTACTTCTAGACAATACAAAAATTCAAGTAATTATTTACATTTGATTTATAATATCAAAATATTTGTTAAGCACAAGTTGTTCTCCATTTTTTGGGGACTTATACTATGATACAAAATCAGTGTTTAGAACGATTCTATTATTAAGTAAATAAGTAAATTCACTGGTATACTTGCAAATAATCCATTGATTAGTGGTAACACAATATGATAAAATATAATAAAGAAGTATCTTAGATAATTATTTTTCAATACAAATATCTTATTGCACAAAATATACGGTTTATTTAGTTATTTGTTCAAAAGCTTGTTCAGTGAAAAAGAAAGTTCTTTCCAAACACTGTACTAAATCTAATAAGTTAATTAATGACTAATATATAATACCTGCATGAAATGAACTACAAAAATAAATTTATGTTTTCATAAATTGTTATTGTTAAGAATAATCAATGGAGGTAATCTTTCTTAAAACTATTAGTGCAATTTATTATTTTTTTATTTTGACATAATGAATTGTCATTGGACATGACAAATGTCGACATGTTAATTGTCACAGTGCTGACGTCATTATCATTTCGTCATGGAGAAGGATTAGGTTAGGTTAGGTTATGGAGGGTCATTCTGAAAATAAAGTTAAGAGTATCCACATTTCATGCAGATTAAGTTGCGGGATTATAAGGATATAACGATTTATATAAGAATAGACAAATTAATTTGTTAGGTAGGCACTTACTTACTGAGGAACCACGGAAATTGATCTTTGAGAAATGTTGCCAGAAATCGATTTTAAGGCTAGATATTATAAAACTATTAAAAAGTATTTGGCCAGAACATATAATTAAGACTATACTATCATCATATATCGCAAGGAGATTATAGATTGGAAATAATCTATAATTATCAGGACATATCAATGTATTCTGCCCTCCTAAGCAAAAATGCCGTAATTTGAAAAACTTTTTTTTTGTAAAAACCCGATTAAACAAAGTAAAATGGTTTCTTAATTGGTTTTTTTAAATATTTTTTTTTTCAAGTTACTGCATTTTTGCTTAGGAGGGCAGTATTGATGTATCTACATAAAGTGTGGATACTCTTAACTTTTTTTTCTTTAAAAATGTAATTTTGGAGAAACAATAGTAAAAACTGGAGTCACCAAAGTTTAAAATATTATCAAATATGAAATTTGTATTCTTTATTGACTTTTTTTATATTTATTTTCCAAAATCAAAGGTAACAATTGAAGACTTTGAAAAAGCGTTAAGTAAAATTGTACCAACTACTGAACGTAATATTGTACTTAATCCTAAAAAGCTGCCAAGTATATATCATTCATTGTATCAGGAACCGCTTCAAGGCTTAGTTTCTTTCATGAACCAAATATTTCCTGAAATTACTTCACATTCTAACCAAAGGTTGTTGTTATTCTATAATAACTAATAAGGTCGTTATGGTTTTAAAATAAATATTATGTTATTAATATTTTTAATGCAATTTACAGACTGAGAGTGTCAAAAGCTCCTCGCATTCTTGTACATAGCCTATCAAACTCTAAAAATGTTCTTGTCATCCCAGCAGTATTACAACATTTTGAGAATTGTTATAGACATACCTTAAGTTGTGTTACTTTGTACAGCAATACGTCTAGTTCACCCGAAGAGGCTATTGTACAGGTGCGTGTTGTTTATATTTGAAAAATTCTTGTTTATAACAAAATGTTGTCATTTGTACATCTTTAGTTAAATATTTTAAATAATACTTTAGATTTTCAAAGAACTTCCAAAACATCTTCCAGCAATTCTGTTCATTCCGAATATTGGAGAATTGTGGGAGAGTTTAAGTGAATCTTTGCAAAAGTTATTTTTCGAGTTATTAGATTCACTGGACATAACTCTGCCTGTATTAATATTTGCCACGTCGTTGTACACTTACAAAGACTTACCAAAAATGGTATATATTTTTATTACTTATTAAAATCAAATACAATTTATCATATACAATGGCATGCACAGGAATGGGGGGGGGGATGAGGGGATATATCCTTCCATGGGCCTTTTTTTTTACTTTTAACATGACAGTTCATCAACATAATTATGTATCTGTTAAAAACAAAATTTATCATCAAAAATATGTGCTGTGGTGATAACTGATAAGTGATACCAAAGACATTAACCACAATAATTATACTCTAACTGTGGTTATAGCCCATATATATTATGAAGTTGGTAGTAATCAGAAAATGTAGTTTTCTTTATTATAATAAAAATTGAAATATAATACATTTTCGTTGTACTGGTTTATGACATCCCCCCCCCCATACAAAATTCCTGCGCACGCCACTGATCATATACAAATATATATTTTCTTCAAGTATGTTGTATACGATTAAGAATGTTTTAAAACTTTCATGGATTGAACTATTAGTTGGATAATTTTTGGATTTATCCATGTTGTCATTAGTTAGCTGATGTTTCGGACCCATTATAACTCTTAAAATAGATCCTGCAATGGGTCCGAAATGTCAGTTAACAAATGACAACATAGATAAATTTGAAAATTTTCAAACTTATATAGTAACAACATAGTATATGTGTAATTTGTATTATAACTTATTACAATAATGTAAATATTTTAATTCTTAAATGATATTTATAGATATTTGATGTGTTTGTTGGTGAAAAACGAAAATATGTGATTCCTAATCCACCAATCGAATCTATAAATTCCTTGTACTCTGAACTGATGGATAAGGCTTTTAAACCACCTAAAACAGTTGAACCTGAAACTTTGGAAGACCTACCTTTAGCTCCTACACCTAGTCCACCTAAGTTAAGCGAAACCGAATTGAAAGGTATTATATGTCAAGAGGAAAATACACTACGCGAACTTAGAATATTTTTACGTGATATTTGTGCAAAACTAGCTCGTAACAAACAGTAAGTTAAACAATTTTGCTTAAGTGATATGCTTAGCTTATTTCAATAGGAAGGGAATCTATATTTTTTAAGAAGTAGTCTATGTAATTTTGATCCCTTCCTTCACAAATTCATTTTAGCTGTACAATAATATTGTGGTATATTTTCAATGATTCATTAGTTAATTTTTATATAATATTAGTTTATGGCATACATTATAAAAAAACTTCATGGTGTTGATTGGGCAAAATTTTAGTGAAATCCAAAAAAAAAATCTCGGCTTCTGCCTTTGTATCAATTTATAGATCCTGGGCTATCTGTGGGATTTGAATTATTAGGATCCTATTAGATTTGTTTACTTTATTATAATAAAGAAAAAAAAAATAAATACATTTATGATAAAATAATATTCCTAGTCTAATTTTAAAGAATTAAAGGTTATTATTCTTATTTTATGTTTATAGGTTTTTTATGTTTACAAAACCAGTCGATATCGAAGAAGTACCAGATTATTTAGAAATTATTAAAGAACCGATGGACTTGGAAACTGTAATGAGCAAAATAGATAAACATTGCTACATTTGTGCCAGAGATTTTTTAGATGATATTGATCTAATTGTTAGAAATGCTTTGGAATATAATCCGGATAAAAGTGCTGAAGACAAGCACATTAGGCATAGAGCATGCTCGTTACGGGACAAGGCATATGCGTTTATAAAAGCTGAAATGGATTCCGATTTTGAAGAATCATGTCGCGATATACGAGAACAGCGAAAAAAACGTAATGCTACCGAAATTGAACAAACGTGTGTTCCAGACTTTGTACATACTGTTAAAAAAGAACCGACATCCGATAAATATAATAGTAAGCTATTTGTTAAGAGTTAACTTTCTAAAAATGTATTATTTATTTTAAATAATTTTACATTGTGTTTCAGATCAAATTCTAAATGAAGAAAATAACAGTAGAAAGAGAAAACGGCGCAACAAGTGGCAAAATGGATTAACTCCGAGAAAAAAAAGAAATTCGAAAAGTTCTAAAGTATATATATATATATATGTATATAATAGTTACATAAAAATATGTACAATTTAATAAGAAATAACCTAGAATAAGTGTTTTTTTATTGCAAATAAATTGAATAAAGAATAATGATATATTTTCAGGATAATGCTACGGCAAATTCGAGTAATCCAACAGTGAATGGATATGAATCTAGTATGTAATTTATTCAAATAATTAATTTATATGTTCTATTTTATTAATACAATTTTTTTTAATATACTTGGTGTAGATGAAAGCAGTAATGAGAGCAACCGTTCAATGTTATCGGAAGAAAGATCTAACAGTATTAGTCCTATTCCAAATGAATTAAATAATATAGGTGGGTATATTTTGAGATTGTTTAATGATCATTTCCTTTTTAATTTTTAGTGTTAACAAGATTTATACAGATTAATTTTCAATGATGATTGTTTTCATATCAAACAAAATGTATATTTTTTAAATTTATAATGTGATGTATAAAAATGTGTCCAACAATATTATTCAGGATTTTTTGAAATTGAGTTAGTCGAGTTATTTGGTATTATAAATAAAACAGTTATCAAATAATTAAATTGAAAAAAACTGAAACACATCTATTTGATTGCAATGGTCATTCTTCTGAATGTATAATGGCTGTTTGGGTCAACTGAACTTAAAATTTGACTTTTGCAAAAGCTGCAAATAAAATTTTAAATTATTAAAATTTTTTTATTTTTTTAGATTTGTCTCCAAAAATTGTTCACCAAGAATTCAAAATTGACAAAACTGTATACCATAGTTTTGTTAACAATATAGTGACATACTGGAACGGGAGAAATTACTATAATGTAGATGACGGTATAATTGATTTGTATTCATTACTTGACAATAAAATTATAAAGTACACGGATAAATGGGACCGAACTACATTAATTACAGTGAGTAAAAATTTTAAAATATTTTAATATCAAATATTTATTATATAAAATATATTTTGTTTAATTTTCAGGAACTGATAGTGGAGTTTGATGATTTTAAAATTCGTTATATTAAAGAACTTCAAGAAGAAGAAAAAGAATAATTTTGTTTTACTATGTAGATTTTGTTATATTGTATTGTAACTTTCCATGTCTTATAATTAATTAACTCAGTATCACGTGGACATAATAGTGTGCGCATTCAAATATTGTAAAATAATACAACTATAAAAAAATATTTAGTTTTGTACTGCCATTTTATTTAAAATAAATAATAACATTTTAATTTTACGGCTGTATTAATGTTCAGTGTTTATATTTATTGTAATAAAGATTTTTTATGTACCAAGTAATATTTTTAAAAAGATTGGGTTGGTTGAAGTTAGCAAAGTAGTTGAAGAGACCTAGTCTTTTTGATTGTGAAACTACGTCACTTTTTCAAGTATAAAAACGGAAACGTGTTTCATAATTAATTAATTGACGACTTAAATAATTGTTTTATACTTGGGTACATATCGATGCCTTGCACGAAAAGTAGCACCGTTGGCACGAACAGTGCTAGTCTTTGTAAGAACTTGAACGGTGCTACGTGTCGTGCGAGGCGTCGATATAATAAACTGAGTAACATATGTGTAATCAAATTGACTGTATAGTTTAGTATTAGTTTAAAATATTTTCTATTGTTTCCGAAATATTTTTTTCGCTTTCGAAACCCAAATCTAAGACGTAATGCTTGGTTACGTATGTCAGGTGTTTCTGAATTTGTAAGCCATAAGCATGGATATTATTGAAATCGTGATGATTTGAAGTTAGAAAATTGGTTTGTTCGGAATCGTACATTTGATTATTGTTTCCTGATAATATGCAATATTTTTCTATGAAAGGAACCAAGAGATGACTTTTTTGACTTTCTAAAAACACAATTAGTAACATGTTAAACTCATTAACCTTTGTTATGTCGTTGCTACGGTAATCGATGTTATATTCTGGTAGCAAATGCTTTATATCTGTTGTGTATCTCTTAAACGTCAACGTACAAGTTAAAACTCTTTGAATGTACTGGCTAGTTTGTGTATCTGCCAATTTGTTCAATGTTTCCTCTAGAGAAAACAATGCGTCATGCATGCCCTCCATCATCAACAGGCCATCTTTGAAATTGTTTAGTGTATAATTGAACATTTCCCAGTATCTGTTAAAATTATAAACGTCCGTCACATCATATTTAACTTCTGCATTCATTGCTTTTTGTATTCTATCGTGTACTTGATTTGCCTCGTGCTTACATTCATATACCATATGCGTAATCAAAGTTATAAATTTAAGGATTGCGTTTGCATATACACATCCAAGCAGTTGAATGGTCATGCATAACTTTTGGACGACGTTATCGGCTGTTATACAAAATTGATCGGGTTTTTCGATTGGTATATACAAATCACGTCCCGAAAAAAAATAGCGTTTTTTTGTTGCATCTTGATATTTGACACTCAGCTCGTTGATCGCATTCCATCCGGAATGACTCAGTAATGCGTTTAGATTGTTGACCAGAGTACGTTTGTCTATGCATAATAAAACAAACAATTTTTAGTTAGGACGAATACCATTTATAATTATTATCATGTAGACAACTAGATTTGGGCAACATTTGACGAATAATAGGCAATTTTTTATCCACGAATAACATTAATTCTAACCTAATAAATAAACGTTAATTTGTTTATTTATTGTTAAAAAATTAACTCGTAATAAATAAAAATCAATAACAATTGTTATTAAAAAATATAAAGATTATTTTTGGTTTATTATTAATTTTTTGAATCTTATAGATGGTAATTTAAAATGTGTAACTAATATTATTATTATTATTTAGACATACTAAATAATAATAAATACATTTTAAATTGGGTTCAATAAAAACATAAAATAATTGGAAACAAAACAACTTATAATTTTGTCATGAATAATCGAATAATAAATGATTAAATCAAATAGGTATATGCTTTTTTTTTTTTTAATTACAGCTTTATCTAGGTAAAAACGTATTCGAATAGTGGCCAACTCTAAGAACAAACACTAATAATAGCAAACCGAAAAATTATCCCTTATACGCATATTTATACTATACCTTGTATTTTTACAAAATCAGCGTGCAGTACTCCTACGTGTTTCAAACCTAAATCCAAAATATAATTATTGATGACGTTTGTAACGTGATTTTGGATTTGCATGCATAAGGTTTCCACACAACACAAGGACTTATTGTCACGTAAAGGTTTTGCACGTAATGATTGGGCTTGCAAATGTTCATCAGCATTCTGGTTATCTGGTAGAACGCAGTATTTCTTTGTAAATGGAATCAAACTTTTCACTTCGGTATTAAACAAATTATGGATGCGTCTACTTAATTTACCAGTGCTTGCAATGTCTTTGTTGCGATATACATCACTATAATTCAGTAATAGTTCGCTTACATTTGATGTATTTTCTTTTAATTTTAACACACTGTTTAAAACTGGACTTATCCTTAGACGAGTTGGTATATTTAGTAGATTGTACAACGATTCCGACAGATGAAGCAATACGCTGTGCATATACCCGAACATTACATGACTTCTTTTGAATTCACTTATTACACAGTTAAAAAATGTCCAATATCGATCATAATTTTGAGCTGGCGTGTTGTACGTTTTAACCACCCTACCTGTAGCGTTTAAGGTTTTTCGGTATTCTTCTGATTTTTGAATATTATCTTGTACGAGTTTTTTTTCATAGTTGCAATTGTGTAGCATTTTTTTAAACAAATCCGTAAACTTTAAAATCTCTTTTGCATACACACATCCGAGCAGTTGAACGATCATAGGGTATTTCACATCGACGTTTTCAACACTGACATAGAAACGCTCAGGATCTTTGATGGGTATATATAAATCGCTTCCGGAAAACAATGTAGTTTCGATTGTATCCTCTTCGTATCTGACCGTCATATTGACAATCTGACCCCAACCTGGAAAACTCAAGAGTGCATTTAAATTGTCCACTAGTTTTTCCGTGTTTTCGCAACAAATCGACATTCGTTGATTGCATACCGCACAAAAAAATATTAAATCGATTAATACACGTTCAAACATTTTGATCCGACGGACTAACAAATGTACTAGTTTGCAAAAAAAAAAAAAAAACTATGTAGAAATAGAATAAACTGTGTGTCTTGTGAATATCAAACGTATGGTTTACTGTTACTTATAATATCGTGCGCGTTGCAAAAGCAAATAGAACATGTGTTTAGCAAATTGTGATTTGAAAATTTCTAAATTTCTTTTAGTTTCAGTGTTTGTTTGGAGACTTATATTTTTGGTTAGTAAAAATCTGCTGGATTCGTGATATTTTATTTTATTTCATTAAACGAATTATGTTTCTCAAAATTCTTTAGACTTACATCAAAAGTATAGAATAATAGAAAAAAATGTCATTAATGACTTAATTTATAACATCCACTTACTTCTTCTCCTGAATACCTCTACCTTTTGAATTCCTCTATTGTCTTAATCCTGTATCGACATTTTTTTGTACTCGTTTACAACAATAAATAATAACATAAACAAATTTATCAGTATGTGGCATTAATTAAATATTAAATATGTGGTTTGATTTATGTTTGTATCGGAAATAGAAATAATAAAAAAAACAATATTTCAGTCAAAACGTTCTGGTGTTCATGTATTGTAAAATCATAACGTAACCCGCAGTGATTCTAACAAATAGCCTCTGCTATTATTCGATAGGCAAACTTTGCAGCATACTATGAAGCCATTTAAGATTATTGTTATAATTTCTGTTCTCGAGCCTTTTTTTGATTTCCTGAGCTACCGCCGTCATTAGTTTGAACACTTCTGCTGATCGTTGGCAGGTGGTATTTTTCAAAATTTGCATCTATATAAAAATATTGTATAAAGTAAAAGCTGTATGTCATAACATAACAAACATCTGCCGGGTTACATAAAAAAAAAATGACAATTTAATAGTTCATTAAATTTGAATGGAATATTCAAGTAAAAATATGTATACATATTCTTTTTGTGTATTTTAATCAACTTTAAATGTCTTTTATCAACATACTGCATAAATTTCAATATTTATGCACAATATTTAATAGGGTATAAGGTATATATTGATTTGCTACACATAGCTTAATTACTCAAAAAACGTATGACACATGTGCACTGTGCGATTGAAATTTTGTTAAAAGAACTAAAAAATACGCTGGGCTTTTATGTAGCCCAGCAATAGTATATAAAGCACAAATCGATTCGCATACTTTATGAATTTGTTTTTTCATCTCTGTCAATTTGTCTCCGTCCTCCCTGACGGCTTGATCGAGTTTATTTATGATAACCCTATTGTCTGAGTTTTTTTTCTGATATTGTAATTGTCTTGCATAGCAAAAGTTGCTTTGGTCTAAGTTGAATTTAGTTTTATACCGTGCAATTTCTACTTGCTCTTTGACTTTTTCGTTCGACTGTATCATTTTTACCAGCATATCTTTTTGATCTTGCCGCATTGCGACTTCGGCGAACGACTTCAAAGTGTCATCTTTCATATCATCCAAAAGATTGTTTGCAACGATCCAATTGCGTTTCAATTCATTTAATTTCTATAGAAAACAGCATTACAATTAATGTTTTATTATTAAATTTATCATTAATATATAATTAATCATTTAAGTAAAAAGTACTTTTTTCATAACTCTGTTTTGAGGCAGAACTTGAATTATAGGCGCTTGTATAATACACGTCACACTCTTGACGACGGTTTTTTTCATCACTTCAAGATGATAGTTGCTTTCGTTCCTCAAGTGTAGCCGCCGTGTCGCCATTATACGCCCAGCTGTGTACAGCTCAGTTTCTTGATCTTGCTACAAAAATATAATCAAAACAAACACTTTTTTTTTCAAAAAAAAAAAAAGAAGTACAAGTGACCTGTAGGTAACTTACTTGTAAAATTTCCATTTCAATAATCAACTGTCCCATCTTTTCCAAAAATATTTGCCTGCGTATATTTTTTTCCGACAAAGATTTGTATTTGCCTATGGTGAAATCTAAATTTGCTTCCAACTCTTCGAGAACTTTATTGTACTTTACTTGTCTGATCTCCATAGTCTCATCGAACATACGCTTGAACTCTTCCAAGATCTTTAGTGTCTTATCTCTTTCGATTTCTTTTTCATTAATTATTTTTTGTTTTTCACGTATCTGCTCGGCGAACTCGCGAAGTACATCTAATCGGTTTTGACGAGTCGTTTGGTACTCGACATTATGTTTGTCTCGGAGTTCTTCTAGTCGATTGCATTTCGAACGTACCGCAGCCAACTCTCTGTTGTAATTAACCAGATCCTCTTCATAATCTACACGGTTTCGTTTTTTTTCCGGTGGCGCAGTCACGGTGGACTTTTCGGTAGGTTCACTTTTTTTACCTTTTTTCTTAGCCATTCTTTTGCCGTCATAAATCAATAAAACAGTGTACAATTGTATTGAGTTGAAATAAAACTTTGATACGCTATAATTTTAAACATTTTATGTATTTTCATATTGCTAAGTAAAATTATCACCGATATTAATTACAAAGTTACAAAATTACTATTTTCTTAATCACAATTCGTACAATAATAAATATTGTTTATTTGGCCAATATTTAATCACATACAAATGTAGTTGATGTGACGATTCATGATATTTTTAGGAATAATGCGACCTCATTTTTTAGAGTATAATAATGAGGATTAAAGTTTAATAATATTTACATTATGCAATAAAAAAATCCATAGGTGTATAATAAATATAACAATAAAACCAGAACTGCACAGTCGACTGTCGTGTATAAGTGGTATTAGTTAAATAAAATACTTACACTACAACAAAAATAAAAACTATTTCATACTGTTACGTTAAACTATTTTAAAATACTACAACAAAATAATAAGATTGGCAATAAATATAAATATAATTAGGCTTATACAATTACTATTTAATAAAATAACGTTTATTTGTGTTAAGGGGATTCTTTCATTTCCTCCGAAGGTCTGAGAGACGCGTTGTGTGTTTTTAATAGGTATATCTAGTGTGATCTTAATTTACAAATGTGGGTAATTAAAAGTGTTTTAAACATATTAGTCTATTTGTTTTATTTTGAATATAGTCACTGGGACAAAACCGATTGAATTTTAAATACAGATTTGTTTTAACAACAGCACATGATTGCAATGAGTGAATATGGTTATTCATGATAATTTGTTAGGCGAAGGATAAACACATGAACAGTTGTTTACATAAAGAAACGCTGTGTATTATTGTAACCAAGTGCATATTTGTTTGCATTTGTACAAACTAAATGTTAAATAAGTAATAACTATTTTTTTATTCGGCGCTTGATACATTTTTGTGACGATTTTTAACAAATTACGTTGATATCGCAAAACCATATTCAAACGAATTCGTCGATGAACAGGTGTTATTTTTCAGCTGAAATGTAAATCAAAGGTTGCACGTACGCTACAGTTTGATTTTCGCGATTTCTATATTTGATGTCTGAGTCAAAATGAAGTGGGTAACTGTAATTAAATGGGACAAGTGCGAACTAAAAAAATGTACATACCAATAACCAATTAAATAAAAAATATAAAACTTTATAACATCAGATGGTTAAAACCATTCAATTAAATAATTTTTTTTTAGATATTACTTTGAAAATTAGGCAGTTTGACCTATTAAGTTACAATTATACTACTATTCATCTTATTTGTTTATATAACTTTGACGGCGTTTACCGGCTGATAGTCACTGTCACGAGAATTGCCGTCGACAAGTACAAACCAATACCGGAGCCAGTTCAATGTACCAATAAAAAAAAAAAATGGGACGTTGGTTTTTTTCATTACTTACTGTCATGCCAAATTTCAAAATGCCTTCGACGCACACCTGTAACCCATGGTAGCTTCAATGCGTTCATTGCAGTTTTAAACATACACTACACATTGCGCACTAGTAAATGTAAAATATAGTAATAATTGTTTCAGTATAGGTACTACATAAACTAGAAGCCAAAAGTAGTAGCTCGTAAATGTAAAACAAAATTGAGTTAACTGTACAGTCTATTAACATTTTGTGTACAATATGAATCATATAGTACATTAGTAATTTGCTAAGTACATAAGTCACTATAATCACTTGTCCGTGATGCATATGGGTTTTTAAAGCACGCATGAATTTCTGATTTCTGAATGTTTAAAATATATTTTTTAGTATGAGGAAAAAGGACCACCTTACTAAAAAATCACTATTTTTCCAAATAAAATCTCTTCCCATAAGAGTTTATCCAATCTATAGATATCAAATAATAGCATTTGTGCTATTGGCCCAATCAATTTTAAAAAACCAACCAACAAATTAATCTTGGCTAGAACTGCCAAAGTTTTAACATTTTTTTTAACAATGTTTGATTTGATTTGTCTTATATTTAGCATGTATTTAGTTTTAACTTGAAATTGATTAAATTAACATAATATTCCATTTTATACTAATACTTATACGCTATTCAATAGAGATAGTAAATTTAAAAGAGTATAACAAAATTTAAGTCGTACTTAAAATATTTGTTTTCAACATAAAAGTATAACACGTAAACTAGTGTTTTAGCTTTAAGGGAAGGATGTACAATACAAAGACATTGTATATATATAAAATGTACCTTTATTGCGTTATATTAAGTAAAGAAATAAAATAATTAAATATTTAACTAAGCCTTAACCACAAATATTATGTATAATCTATGTTATATTCTTTAACAAGGAATTTGATCGCTTAAAGTTAACAGAAATTTGATTCGGTATCGCTTATAATTTTAGTTCGGAGTAATATTTTAAAATATTTTAAAGAAAATATAACGCCAAATGCGGTAATAATCAATTAAAAACAGATTCGAATTTACCAGAAGCTTTTTTTGGGATTGTCTTCCCCTCTTTTTTCAATTTCGCAATTAAAAGTAATCTTTAGTAATTTTAAAAAATTAATTAAATTTTTACAAAGAAATTACACTTAAAAAAATGTACAATATAGGTAATACGTTTTTTTTAAGAGGACGATGAATAGCTTAAATCCGTTTCCATATTCTATTCCGCAACAATTGGTCAATCGGTTCTTTGGAACAAAAAATAGGTTTACATTATTTTATTTTAACGTGCGTGAGTGGGCCAGATACAGGAAATAACCGTTTCCAATCTTGTTAAGCTATTTATAGATACTAAATATTAATATAATGGTAGTTATTTATCTGAGGTAAATACTAAATTCGTATACAATATTGGTATTGATATTATTGTATGTAACAACCGTTTCGACTACTAAGTCTGCTTCGTGTTTCCATAACGGAAGTTCTCGTAGACTGCAAATTCTACTGAAACTTAACCGATTTAAAATCCCGTAGTTGGCGCTTACATCTGTGGTTAAGTGTAAATATTATTATTGTTTTTAACTTCCTTTCGCTGCGGTTCGCGTGCGCGTTTTGCAACAGTAGTAATAATATGAAAGTTGGGTGTGAGCGTGTGTTTTTTTTGCAACAGAAAACAGCGCGAGATATTATCAACAGACAATGGTATAATATATATATATATATACGTATATTCAATTACATTGCGGCATGTGTGTTTTGAAAATAAAATTTACACGCTCTTCTTAAGTATAAGTTAAGTATTTTCCTATTCGACTAGCCATGGCAACAAGTACACATTTTATAATTGATAACAACTTAACGTTTAAAGACACGATATCTCGAAACATTTAACGACCAAACAATTTTTATGTTTCTATTGAATTTCATAGTACAAGTAAATAATATGACTCGTGATATTGTGGAATAACTTGGTTTCTTATTTTGTATAAAAGGAAATTCCCATCTGTGTGTTAGTTTAAAACTGTTAAACGCAATGTGCTAATGGATGTTAAATTTCACACGTGGTTTACCGTTTACTCTCATCTCGGAGTAAGTTTTGTATTATTTACAATAGATGGGTGCATGTTAATATCTAGCCTAACCCCTCTATAGACCTACACACATATTATGCACATAAAGAATAACACTTGTTTATGTAGAACTCCGGCAACGATTAACGATACAGTTAAGAATAATGTTGAATATTTACTAATAATGTCGAGGAAACATAGACAGCATTATCTTCGACCGGACGGTCACACTTCGTCATCTCGATAATGTTTTTTTTTAATAAAGACAAAAATGTTTGACAAGTTTACTACCAGTCCCAAATAAAAACAATGTTTGTGATGTTTAAAAACTTACTTGAAGTTTTAATTTTAACTTGGATAATCGTTATAATTCTAAGCTATACAACAGCTGGACGTTCGAAAATCATTTGACGTTTTTTCACAGTTTTTATCTCATATTGAATTCAGCCAACCGCATAGACTGTGTGCAAATAGCACACAGACTTTTTAATAGATAGTGAGGAAAATAAAATATTCCCGCTAAAATGAAAAATATCACCCAATCACCGATGTCCACCAACAATTATTTAGTTCATCTCGACAACTAAACAAATATACTGGTACAATTTTAAGGAGAAATTCAGTTAAACAGACAAGTTGCACAGACGTATGGACAAATGAAACACACACACCGGTACACGGACAGACGGCCAATTTCTTTTATTATCGATAAGAATACATATGGACTTACTCCCATCCCGCGATGCTAAAAAATGACCAGGGAGTCTTAGCTTTCTCTTCGAGGAAGCAAAATGTATTATTATATTATTGTTTTTGATCTTAAAAAATAGAATTTCACATGGGATTCAAACGTTGATGACTTTTAAAGTAATCAAATACTATGTTTTAATGAAATTGAAATTGAAACAATCATACCATAAGAGGAAGTAATATACTTGTATTACGACTGATATAATATAATACTGTTTTATACATTGTATAAAGATATACCTACATTTTTGGAGAATTGACTTTTAGGCGAAATTTATATTACCTAATAGAGCACGTTAACGAAATGTCAATGTTTACTTAAAATTAGCTAGAATCTAAATTTTATTTTCCCTATTTAAACGCGTTTAGAAAGTAAAATAAATATAACGTTGAACTTGCAGTATTCGCCGATAAAGTGACCTATATTTTGAACTGCGCTCGGCTGGATTTCAACAATATATCGAGTGCATAATATGCATTTTTCGAGTGTCATGTTACTTAATCTGATGGATAAAATCTCAGTTCGTTAAAATTCATTATTCTAGTAAAACTTGTTTCGAGAGCATTCGCAAGCGGCTAATTTTTTTATTTACACAAATGAGTAGTAGTTCACTTATTCTTTTTTTTAAATACTAGTATTGTTTATTATCTTTATAATACATCTTTTACTTATTAGCGACTCAACGTAACACCGTATTTGTACACACTCATTTATTATAGTTTTTTTAAATAAAAAAAATATACATGCCATGTACGGCCAGTCACTTGTGCATTGCACGAGCCTCTTGCGTGGAGGGTAAAATCATTTTTGTATTGAAGAGCAAAATAATTGTAATAGTTTGTAAGTGCATAATGCTACCATCAATTTTTCGTACAAATTGATTACACTATATCGCTTGACGTACTGAAGCTCTCTGCCTACCCCTTGCATATTTTTAATAATTTTAGTTCTATTGTGCCAAATTTTGTACAACGTGGAATTTTCTTTGAAATCCTAACTTACTTATGCTGAATGACGTTTTTCTATTATTATTTTTATAATTTACACTGACTGAAATCATAGCTTAATAGTAATTGTTCTATTTCCTAATAATTTTATCACGAAAAATATAATATAAGTACGAGGATTCTACTAACAAAATGTATAAATAAGTCTTGTATAGCCTTTTGTGTTTTTATAATTCGGGTAATAATTACTAGCTTGTATAGGCTAAAGCAGGTAAGTTCGTTCTTTGTTCAGCGGTTTGGTAAACATTTAAAACAATAATGCACAACGTACTTAATATACAGTATATATTATTAGGTACCCACTCTTTTATAGTGGCACTCCCACGGTATCCTTTTTCTGTTTTTTTTTATTCAACCATATCACATTCCTCACCCACCCATCCCTCGAAAAATGTCAATAGGCAAAAAAAATCCCTCTTGCCACGCCACTGCTTTTTTTTGTCATGTGTTGAGTCGATAGAGGAAAAAAACTTGGCCTACTAACGTATGTATCGGATTTAAAAATAAGCGCGCTTCCCCACCAGAATAATCAAGTCCAAACAATGCTGTTTCGATACATCCGATTAAATCAATTAAGTTATTTAATTGGCCCCGTGTCATCCGCCAGTATATGTATGAGTTCTATAAATACTTATAACGCGTTTAAACATCATATATTGTACCACGTTGACCGAGTCATTGTTACCTGCTGTGGCGTTCGCAGATCTTTAAGTTCGCATTTGCACAGTCTCACACTTGGATCGTCTGTATTTTTTTTGTTTGGATCAGCTTACATAAAAAAAAATAACAATCATGGTGAGCACGACTTCACGCCTTACCCGTAAAATGAAATGCTAATTCACAAAAAAAATAATAACTGTATTTTATACCTTTCTACAGTCGTGGATGGATCCGCCTCCTCAGGCTTTCGAAATGCAAGAAGGTATAACGCTCAGCAAGGATCAGCTTAAAGGTAATTCATACATAATTATTTAAAGCTAATACAGTAGATTAGGAAAGCCCATAATTATCTTACGTTTCTTTCAAAAATGTATACAACATTTTTGTTTTTGAGAAATATTAAACGTAATTTTGTAAATTACAACAGCGGCAATAAAATTCGACCTTTTTATTTACATAAAACATCACTTTTCTAATATATTGCGTCAAATAGTTATTATTTTAAATGGATTTCTCCAATAAAATTGATGCTCAAATATTTATATATATATATATATATATTAGCTTCGATGCGCAGCTTGAGAAGGTATTTTTTTAACTTTGCCTAGTTTAGAGTTATTAATAAATAATAGTTACCTTTTCGCAATTTTTTATTTGATTGCTTCAGTTTTATTAACCTAAAATGAATTCAATTTTAATCATTAATGGTGTGTATACAAGTCCTTCAAATCAGGCGCATGCAGGGGTCATGCGTTCAATATCATAAAGTGAGTTTAACACGAGTACATAATGTAATTGGAATTTTTAAATTACGGCACCTAGTTGGACTGCAACAAAACACAAAAATAATTAATTTTTGAAACTCATATGTGCCAAACGGTGCATAATATAACAGTTTGATTTCTCTTTGTTGCGATTAATTTAGATATTTTTTGTTGATATGATATTATAATATTGTATTTTTTTTTAATACAAACGTGTGATCGTCTAAAGTCCTTGAACTCCGCTGAACTACGTTTATTAATCACTACTTTCGTTTACAGTATTAAGGAAAGCATTCGACACGTTTGATACGGAGAAAAAAGCACGGATCACTTGCGACAGCATCAACACGATTTTGGATATGTTGGGCCACGCAACTGATGCCGCCACAGTTAGAAATATTGTACAAGAAATAGATCACCAAGGTATACACATAATTCATACAGACGCGCGTTTTCGATTGTACATACTATATAGCCTTAATAAGATTAAAATTAAGACTCTAGTACATAATAGTAAATTGTCAAGTCATGTTTTAGTTTACTAAAAGGGTAATTATAATAATGTGTGCCAAGCTGCTAGCTGCGCCATGCAAGCTTTATAGAGTAGTGCTGGTATCAGTATTTTGCGGAGACTGAAGAGGACATAGTTGGTATAGGTTGATAAATTAATTTGAAAGCATCTCATCAGCGTCCATAGTGGGTAATGACAATGTTTTTAAATACCCAAATGTAATACCTGTACCCTTAAAATAATTGCTAGACGTGCGTTTGGCTTCTGCCACTGCTGCCATTTGAATGTACCATTGAGTTTTCAATCTTGGTGGCATTCCTTTCCACGTAAACCGCTTTTGTGCGACCCGTTTTAGCTAAAATAGTTAATGGGCTTAGCGTAGAATTTGTTTTGTTCAATATATTTTAGATCGGTTACACAACTATCATTTTGTAGGTTTATTATTGATTATCTACAAGTATATAGGTGTAACGGGAGCGCGCGTAGGGAGTCCAAGCGGTCGCCTGTCCCAGTATAAACACCAGCTAGGAATCGCCCGCTTTCTTTCCTCGACAATATTTTCAAACGCGTAGGACAATACAATATGCATTATATACAGGAAACAATTTTATAGTATTCCTTTTATTATATAAGAATGTCGAGCCGTAGAGCCGATAACGAGATCGCAGCTGGACCACACAAAAATATAAAATCAGTAATACAAAAAAGGTGCTATGATTTGATTAACGTTCTAATCAATAAACGACTTTCTCGTCTGACAAAAAAAAAAAAACAGCCGCCAAGCAAAAAAAAAAAAAAGAAGGATTAATGCATAATGCTGTGTATTAGTTTAGTTTTAATATTATTACAAAACATTTAAATATAGATTCCATGAGTAAATATTTGCGTTTTTACGACCGAAACGGGATACGTTGACTCGTTGTGTCGATCACCGAGTTGGATAATGAACTTTAGGCGTCGACTGGAATTTTTATTATTTCAGAACAGCTGTGTATTGGTAAATTATACAGCTGCATCATTTGGTTTGGTTTGTTTTACGACTCGAACGGTTACGTTAGTGTTTTTTACCTCAGAGAACGGTTTAGAGTGTTACTCAAGATTATACGACACCTATACTTTGGATGAAAATAATGTAATTATTGTTAACGTACAGGGCAAACGGTTATCTGCCATTATGGATGGGTAATACTTGACCTATCTGACTTCTAGAAATATGAACGATTCGATAGTTATTTGAAAAAATACCCAAACGTGTCGATAGAACGAGTTATAGGGGTTTTCTTAAAACTACTTGTTGAATTATTGGTAGTTTTCATAATACTATCTTCATGGTCAAAATATCTTATCCGTTTTTGATTCACTTAATATATTTTACAAACAAATGAAAAGATTGGCGTATAATTTACATTGCTCACATTACTTTGAAAACCCTTTTATTTTTATTTTTGAAAGGATTGTAAAAGGGTTGATAAAGACGGCTTGCCGCTTGAAACGGGTCATAATTTAGCAAATTGTTTAATTATTTCAATCGGGACTAGTGATAATTAAGTAATAATAATTAAAAACAAACCTGTGTTTGTTACGCGATGTTGACAGATTTAGAACGAGTGCCAAGTGCATATATAACAGTCAATAACGTTGCTTCAAAAACTAGAACTATAGCGTTTGCCAAGCAAATAGACATCGTAGTCCGTAGATTCTATACTGTTAGAAACGCGCATACCTAAACATCTAATTAAAGGATAAATTCAAAGTAACAGACATATCGATTTTCAGCGTCAATCATAATGATATATTGTGTCAAAATACTCCTTTTATTATTTGATAAACTTTAATACTCTTAATGTAGTTCAATATATGATCGGTTTCGCTATATAAGTACCGCCTATATCTATATAGTGGAAAGATAAGAGCTATTGGTTACATTTTAGAAATAATATATTTTTGTTGTACGAAACTGTATAGCTTATAATTATGAGTTGAGTAGCGATATTGAAAGGAGTGGCAGATTTGTTCGAGATGATTCGAATGATGAAATAGCAGCACGATGTTCTTAAAACAATAATTTTGCGAATGGAAGGTCGATTAAACAATAGGTAGGTGTATCCCGAATTTGAGCCCTGCATCGGACACGGTTGAGCAAGAATTTGAAATCCAAAATGATGGCTGACAGAGAATAAAAATCTCTAGCAACAACACTTATGAGAGAAGACCTTGACTGGAAAACAATGTAAATAAAAATCGTATTATACATAAGTATTGCTATCACATCCGATTGCTCGAACACCCCATTATTCCTTTTTAGACGACTATTGTTAAATAGAAAACTGAAATTCACTGAAAATGTGAACCAATTTTGGTTATCCGAATGACATTTTTATTTGGAAAACAACATTTAACTAAACGGGAGGACAATATATAATCTGCAATTATAATATTATTGATTAGCGCCTGGTAACAACTGAAGACTACTTGCTAATCAACTATCAAATTGGTTAAATAGTAAAATTAGGCAAAGTATAGTCAATATTGAACAAAAATTGGTTTCGATGAATTTGAATCATGTCAACTTTTTTGTATGTATTTTTAAATTTATTTTTCTGTATAATTTTTATGTGAGTTGTAACCATTTTATTTCTCGAAAAAATGTCTAATGGGAAAACTCTCATGCCTCATAAAATGGTTCAACTTCGATAATTTTTTTATGAGGAAGGCTTCTCACCGGATTATTTTTTTTTTAAAGCATAGCCAAAAACAGTAAAAAGTTGGCTGCATGAATTGGCCGTATTCAAACATATGTAGTACTTAATTAATTAATTAATTTTAATTTAATTTAATTTTTAAATCGAAGTTTCAAGTCTTCCTATTAAACAAAAATAAAATCGGACGAGCTATGAGTTTTACTCGTGAATCATGATTATGAACAAAAATAGGCCACACATTAATGTAAACTTATGATTTTCCGGTTGAATTTTAACGTATAACATTTGAAATTGTTAAATTTGAGAAATAATAAGGTTTCGGCGAGTTATATTCATATTTTACTATAGTAATTTGTTGTGGTTTTTTTTATATTTTTTATTATTGAATTGTTATTGTGGTTACACATAATAGCACACTATAAAAATTTGTTGGTATTAAAGTGTTTTGTGATATTTATGCAAAGGAGCTGAAGCCAAGAGGGATTTGAATGATACTGTATTTTATATAAAAAATAACCCATAGTAATAGTAGTATTGTTAAGCCCGATCCACGGGTATCTCGCACGTTTTCTGGCGGTCCGACCGTCAAAATATATCACAATCTTATGGTTTTGAACGGTTTGCTCTAATAACGTTGCCGCGCGAGACATATAATTAATATGTAATAGTTACTCGTGTAACACAATGTAGTATATGTAATATTTTCTCCGTCTTTCTATTGTGTCCGCTCGAAACTAGTACAATGGCGTGACCTTGCAGTATACACAAAACGCTTTTGTACCGAATTCGGTGAAAATGTCTATGCAGATCTGGTCGTCATATTTAGTTGGCGAGGCGTGCCGATGCAAAACTTAGACACATAATACACATAGTAATTCTAAAAATAATAATATACCTATAAAAACTGTATACATCTAATAAAAATAATATCATTGTTTTTGTTGTTGGACGCAGGAGCCGGTACGCTGTCGTTTGACCAATTCTGCACTTTGGCCTCCAAGTTCATGACCGAAGAAGAAGAAGACAGCGAAGCCATTAAAACCGAACTCCGAGAAGCGTTCAGGCTTTACGATAAAGAAGGTGAGATCAGATCAGGCACAAGGTCATTAACGTTGTCAACAATAATATGGACTTTGTTGTTACAGGAAACGGATACATTACTACCGAAGTGTTGAGAGAAATACTTTCAGAACTGGACAACAACATGTCCGACGAAGAATTGGATCAGATGATCGACGAGATCGACGCTGACGGATCGGGAACCGTCGATTTTGACGGTAAGTTTATCGGTTATTATAGTACAATGATCTTATTAATAAATATCCATCACTACATATAGTTGTGATAAGGAGCAAGTTGTAGTGGAAAATATTCTTAATTAAATATTAATAATAATTGAATAAGTTAAAAACAATATGGCATTGTCTCTAAAATGTTATCATCTTTCAATTTCCTAGTAGGAGTTTTTACTCAAAAACGACCATGAACCGAGTAAAACCCATACTGTGTATCTAAGTTAAAAAAAAAGTATTTGAAATCCTGTCAAGGATGATGTGATGGTCAGAAAAAAAGTGTCCTGATTACTGTTTTAATAATTACACATTACAGTTTAAGCCTTAAATTCAAAAATTGCCTCTACCGAACTTCTTAATAAATAGGAGGTATACATCCTCTTCGAGAGTAAATGATTAGTGGAAGAAAATATTTAGTTGTTTTCACGAAATCGTATTAGATGATGCTTCGTTTAGTGATGATTATTGCGAATCACGATCTAGTCTAGTGTACTCTATCTGGTTAATCTACTCTTCGTGCGGTGCCGAATTAGTGATTCGAATATCCCTTTGATAAAATCGATTATATGAAATTAATTTCTAAAATTATTAGTAAGACTTACGAAACCTCGTCATAAATATATAAATGTGCAAATGTTATGTGCGAAGACACAATTCGTGTTTTAAAAAGCGTTCAAAAAAGAATCTAGGCCATTGATTTGTGCAGGGGCAATAATAATAAAAAAAAATAGTTATAAATTACGAGTACGTATTGCATGGAATTCCGTGAATTCTTTATTATAGAAATAAAAAAAAATCGAGAACATAGATTGCGTCATACATACGACTTAAAAAAACACAATAATCCTCATGTTACAATACTATATAGTCTACAATAGGATTTTTCAATGAATTCTAGATTAATATTAATAATTCGAAACGGACTATATTATATTGAAATCTTCATTGTTAGAGCCAATATTATCAGCTCAATGGTAAACGGTAGTGTAACGCTAATAACTAACTCTTTTTTTTCTCAACTAGGGAATTTCAACCCGGAGACTTTCTTTAAAACATAATACTGTTTTTTCTTACAACTTTTTCGTCTCTAGTCTCATTCAAAATCCCATTTAATAATAATAATAATATTATATATAACAACGATTATAATTGCTGTTAGGGCGTTGGGCAACCAATCGATATACCATAGGGAACATTTCAATCGCTTACGTTCCGTATAATAAAATAATAGTATAATAATAATATATAATATGTATTATAACGGTATTACATGCCGGCCAGAATGCGGTGTGTAACCGCAAAGTATAATAGTATACACACATTTCGCAGATTCATATAGCCTATAGGAATGGTATGCGAGTGTGCTTGTCAGTGTGGTAGATGAAATATCGTTTTTTAAAACGTCCAGAAGAGTTGATTAATAATAATCAAATGGAATAGCAACGGGCGCTTGGCGGTCGCGGGTAACTGCATTGGCATAATGATAATATTTAATATGCTAAAACCATGTCTGCACCCGACCACAGCCGCGTACCGGTGGACTATTATACAATATCGTACTATATTATTATTTTTTTTTTTAAATATATCATAATTTATATAATTAGTTGACCTAGCGGGGTTAACAACTCTATTAGCCGAAGTTAAATTATAGGTTTACATTTCATACTAATCTTTATCTGTGCATTTTCTCGCACGAGCACTTATGTTGATCGCTCTAAGTTTTTCTCCACACAGTCTGCACAATCGTACCACATAGTAGTACTTCTCTTAACGCTCATTAACGCTTGTGTAAGTCTCTATTAATAGCACCCAACTTTTTTAGTCTTCTTTGGTCTACTTGTCTCGGTTTCCCTTAGCTCCTTAGTCCTTTCTATTTAAACCTATGTTACAATATTATTAATATATATATTTTTTTTTGTTTGCATTCCTTGTTTTAAAAATTTGTTGAAGTTACATTTAGTTTAAAAACTCGGTTGTACATTGCCGTAGAAAGATCAATAATTTAAACGATTTTGTTTGTTTTCAGAATTCATGGAAGTGATGACTGGTTAAATCGACGGACTTACGTTTATATCGTTTGTATGAAAATTGCATTGTAATTAATATTGTATACTGTTTGAAATAAAATGTTAATAAAAATAAATAACTCTTTAATTTAGATTATATTATATTTCAAGTGGTTTAGTTTCATATTTAATAACATAATCGATATTCTAAGTAAAATTATTGGTTTTTTGATATACAGATAAGTCGCAACCTGTTGCTTTAAATGTCAACAGCCTTGAGTGGGGTATCATTTTGTTGGTACGCAACTACGTTATTCATCAACATTTGTTTTTTATTTACTTCCAATAAGTAAAATTATAATTTTGCAAATTTTAAATAGACAATAACTCTATTATAAATAATTTATAATGTATTAACCGATTAATTTATAATACATCAAATTTAATGTAATGTGGGTAATTTTTTATTGTTTTATTTATTATATTTAATGTTCTGAATTTTTGGAATCATCTATTGGCCGCCTCCAAAAAGCTTAGAATAAGACGAAGTACCTAGAAGTTTTAGAAATTGAATTTACTGAATGTGTTCTAGTACTTACATAAGTACATAATATTAGCATACAACGACTCGCACTTGATGAGTTATAGCCAAAATTAGTTTTGAATATAACTTTGGTCTTTGCATTCAAGTTGTACTCAGAACAGACATTTTAAATAGAATGTGATTAATTGTCCAATCGTTCCTATAACTTCGATAGCTATAATGTTCCTATTACATCCTATAATTTTTTTTTTCTATTTGTTATACAATATACTCTCTACATTATGCTTTTGATATTCTTAATAGACCATAGCTCACATTTACACGCTGTCCAATGTGTTTCGGTTGAGTTTTATGTGTGGAATATTATAAATTATATTAGTGTTGTATATATTATTTACACATCATTGCCGCCACGAACAAGTCATCCGTGAGAGGAAATAAAAATTATCTAATTTATATCGCGCGTCAATCACATCATTAAATCCTATGCTCATAATAATATTGACAGTTATACCTAAGTAGCTACCGAATAGTACTTTCGAAATTCATTCGTTAATCGATTTTAGTCGCGATGGAGATCGAGTCGATTTGAAAAATCAAAAACCTTATGGGTACCGATTATGACGTTTTTCAGTTTATTAATATAAGTTTTTAAAGATACAATACTAGATTACGACATTATTTATATAGTATAATATGTAAATGTTCCAGAAAACTTTTATTTTACAACAACAATCCATTAAAAAATTATAAGCTATTATACAGCTGAAAACTTTCTATACATTGTTTTTAGATTTAACATCTAAAGTAATTAAAAATTAAATTATGTTCTTATAATAATCTCGTTTTATTTAAACAAGAAAGGTTGAATAACTGTAATTAAAAGCGCACTAATAGAATTGTATTTTAGCATCAACTTAAGTGTTTTTTTTTTCATAATAAGAAGTACGAAAAATAATAATATGCTTATGTTAATTGACAGTTAACTTTCATTTACTGTCTTTTACATTATTGGCAAACAAGTACACTTTTTATACTTTTATCAAGCGCTTACTTTATGAAGGTATGTTAAACATTACGTTTTTAAAAGATAATGTTTTTCTAAATTAGATTAGTTATGACTTATGAATACTAATTTTTTTGGAAATGAATTAAAAAATATCAACTCGATTTTTGTTAGAATACATATCTAACTAACTATAAATTTATCAGAAAATGATGTTCCTAATGAGGACATAATATACAAAAAATTATAATTAATTTCCACAAATACTCTTTATAGAGTTACTCAAGCAATTTTTATCTCGCAGCTCCATATCCATTCACTTTTTCAAAAGGAGTAAAAGCGCTCAATTCAAAGTATCTTAATTGGTTTTGTAATCATTCAGAACAAGTGTCAATGATTAATTAGTGTTGTATATTTCTAGTCGTTAATAATTATTTTACATTTGACTGCGTGACTTGGAGATCTGTGTAGCTAATAATAATACTGAAGAGTTTCACTTTGTCATTAATCAATTTGTTGTTCACCAAAAACATTTATAAGCCTACGTGGTATATTTTGAGACGACTTTTTTCTAAATAGCTGTATTCAAATATATCTATTACGTTATATAATGTATGATTAGCAATCACAAATTATTATGTTTCAATGTGCGATATATATTGACGTTTGTGCCTATTGAGACCTTCACAATGCTGTGTTGATTTAATTAAGATGTCAATTACATGTTGTACAAAGTACGCCCGACGGAGAACGCCTTACATCAGACAAATATTGAATACAAATAGATACAAACCAATATAATGGTACATTTAGTCATTAATCATGGACACTGGATACAATAAAATGTGTTCGGTGTTTCTTCTTAACGAATCCATCTACGCAACGCTGGACTAAATAAACTTGTTATTTACATTACGCGAATGCACGTGACTGCACATACGCTGTTAGTATATTAATAAAAGCCAATTAGACGGTATTTTATGAAGAACAAGCGCTTTATAGACTACAGCGACTGTTAGATATAAGCAAATGATACATACAATTATTATCATTTAATACAATGTGCATAAAATAGTGTACGTGTAACTTTCTTGTCATATCCAAGATCACTTGCACATCAAAAAATGTCATTTGAGTTTAGATTCCAGTAATAAACTATTATGAAGAGACAAAAAAAAAATTATAAATATATATTATTGTATGGTAAGGTTTGTTTTATTAATTAAGACATAGAATAGATCGTTATGTCGTTTAATATAAATGGCAATATTTACAATGTTCAACTAATATTTTCTATATTTTTAACAATACATAAACAACATTTAGTTTAATATTATGTTTTAAACATTTTATCTCCGGCCAAAACATCCCAAAAAATATTAACAAACTTATTGACTACATTTTAAAAACATTAATATATTTTTTTGCTCTATGAGTTGGTAATAATATTAATATAAGGCGTTTTAAAATATTTTTTATAATATGTTTTGGCACGTTCTACCAATTAAAATGATTTATACATAAGATTTTCAAATTTCACATGCTTTAACTTAAACACCCGCACCCTTTCCAATAGTTTGGCAGATAGTTTTTTTTCGTATATGTCTATCATCGGAAATAATAAACCAAAAGTATATAATTAATATTTTTTTCTAGGTTGAGTGGAAGATTTTCTATAAACTTTGTATTGTAAAAACATAATGTTTTAAAGTTATGATATTATTGATAGGCTAACAACAAGAGTATGAACGCGACTTTTTACTTATTAAAATATTATGAAGATGAAACCTACACACACAAAAATAGGCATACACATCAATAAGTGTAATCTAAATAAAAACTAGCGCTTATACCTTTAGTTCTTGCGTATACATTATGTGCCGGTGGGTGAAGTTGTTATAATAGCCAATACCAAATAGAAAATTGTAGTAGATGGATACCATTTTTAGTGGGCGACGAGTAGTAAGTGCAGTAATTCACTTTTGCTTTATTTATTTAACCGGTAAATGAAATTACCGATGAAAGTTTTTGATAAAATCTGTAATAAATGTGAGAAACCTAATTGATTTAGTTGATAAACTTGGTTTTACAATGATGTGCGTCTGTAAACATGATAACTTTGTTCTGTTAAATTGATTTACTCAAGTAGCACCTTTATCGAACCATACGATATTGGTACTTATTAACAATAACATCAACAATATGTTAGAATCGGTAGCTGCTAACATTTTGTTTAGTTCCAGACAACCACAAGAGAGAATACTGGAAATGAAATAATATTATACCACAATTATTATGTCTAAATGTGGAAGTTACTTTCTTTAGCCTGTTATCTTATTGAAGTCGCCACAGATTCCTCGGCTCTATGTATAAACTATGTTGATTTTCAATAACTGTGATTTTTATTTTAAAAACTATTTTGTAGTTATATTCTCACGTTTATCGGCTTAAAGAATAAAGACTGAAGATTAAAGAACCGTTAAGCAATTCGTAAAACGTTTTCCTTTTCTCCTAATTTGTTTTGATTTATTTTAAAACACTATTTTTCTACTATTAAGTATTTACCATTTTACCTATACACCTTATCATTGTAGGTTATCACACATGTAATTTTTCCCGTCCTCGGTAAAGTTTTATTTCCTATTTATCTGTATTACACTTTTTATACATCTGTACAGAATTTAGCCAAAGACTGTGGCAAATTCTAAAACAGTGTAAAAGAGAACCACTTCTTAATTAAAAACAAACCACTTGTTTGGAGGCGGCGGCTGTGTTGATGTGAAGTACCGGATTTATGCCCGAAGTGACCCGCAGACTATAACGGACGTCTGTCGGCGCTCCGCTGTCAAAATATCGTGTTAGGTATTATGTTATCGTTATCATTACCATTACTATGCCTATATCTGTACATTTTGTATAAACAAAACACAACACTATACAAATACTGGCCCAGTTCTTACAACCAAGGTTCACTGCGTCCTATACAACAAATGCGTCGTATTAATTTATTCGTTCAAGGACTTATTACGGTTTCTCCGTTTATTATTTTTTTTTGCGAAGTGGTGAAATTTGTTATTCTTCTTGTTAGGTTAGGTTAGGATCACGCTAACTCGCCGGCATAAGAAAACGCATAAATCATAATAATAAAATATACGTAAAATGATTCAGCGTTTGTCACTGCAGAAATTTTCAGTAAAAAACAAACAGCTGGAAATTAACAATAAACTATCCAAACATGTATATCAATCGGATAAAACTCACCAACATTTAAGATATTGATCAAATTTAAGGTTCAATTGAAAGTTCAGTTGGTAGTTCATAGTTAATAGTTACCGCATAGGATAAATGGATTCACTCGTATTAGCCTTTTCTGATAGTATGCTGTATGCAACATGTTATTATAAAAGGGATTTAATTACACACATTTCTTTGTGAGTTTTAAAAAGCATGCGCTGCTGAGTTCACCAACTTTTTTATTTTCGTTCCCGCGGCAATCTTCGATGTAAGTAGGTAGTATTTTTTTTGTATTTGTTGCTAGCTATCCGATTTTAAGCACACTAGACATGACGGACTATATATATCCTCTATAAGTTATAACTCGCTATACATATTATAAATATCTCATACATATTATAATATCATTATTATAAATAAATATATAATTCACTCAAAATAAAGTTAAATAACTGCTAGTACTTTTCCAAGCTCAGAATAGGTTATCTATATTTAACATATTTTTTGTTTTATGAATTTTTCTGATTTACATTCTATACTGCATTGGGTTTAGGATGGTTGCCATACCATTGATACGAATTAAAAAATATATTATTTCTGTATTATAGTAAAGCTGTTTATTTACACTATTAACACGCCTTGCGGCAACTCCCATTTGAATATCTTGACTGGTTCGCCCAAGATATCCAAATGGGAGTAACCGCAAGGCGTGTA